TTCAAAGACAAGGATGGTATTTATGAGTCACGATTTTAGCATATTAACAACATTCATCGTTCGTGACGATGTGTCATATATAATTTCTATGTGTTATCGTGAAAATGTCGAGAAATAATTGAAAGAGTATCAGAATTCGTGATTATTCGATACACATATAAAAAAAAAAAGGGTATCGGTGTTAATGGATACCACTTTGAACATTCGAATAATACGATATAAACAGCATATTTACTTGCATCGTTTTAACAGTATCATGGAATTTCATTACATCGTCTGATGTTTATATTGATGCCTTTAGGCAATAATTCATATATATATATATATATATATATATATATTTCATCGTGTCAATATCAATTACAAGATGCAAAAAATGAAAAAATACGTAACTTCTCATGCTTCCTCGTGGTAAAAAAAAAAAAAAATCGTATTACATTTTAAATACTTTTCGAATTATTACGATAAATGAAAATATTTAATTATTATTTCCTTTATACTGGAACAATATAAAGTTGACTCTGTTTATTTAAAAAAAAAATCTTGAGTTCTTTGACATTTCTTATTTGAATAGATTAATGCACGATATAAGCAATTGTTATTAAACGGGAATTCAATTCAGGAAAATATTTGATCGGACGATTTCGATCAATTTTACGATTGATTTTTATTTGTATGTATTCCGATACATTATCATTATATTGATAACCTCGCATCGTTTTTTTTTATTTATGTTTATGTATATATATATATATATATATATATATATATACTTATATACATGACTCATTGATCATCTAACGGCAATATGAATATGAAATATGATTTTACAATGTGAAATATTGTAAAGTAAAATTAACATATTTGTTTATAATACAAACTGTAATATATGTATCTCATATTGTATACTAAAAATATTCCTAAAAAAAGTAAATCATTTAATTTTTTTTTTTTTTTTTTTTTTTTTTTTTTACGTGTGATAATATTAAACGCCATTTCATCGTTTGTTAATTTGAAATAAGATCGAAATAAAGATTATGGAGATCGTGATATTATTTGTACTTCATCATCATCATTTCCTAATTTTTTTTAATTTGATATTTCATGATTTAGCAGAAAAATATAATCTATAATAAAATCATAGTATTATCGAAAATACATGTAATAGCAAATTTGTTTTAACTATTACCGTTAAGTACACATTAGAATGATGAAATTAAATTTTTGGAATGTCGCTTCATAATAAGAAACTTACACTTTGGTGACTCAGTTATGTTTGAATTGACGTCACTAAGTAATCTGATTATTAAAAGTAAAACACATGAACACGTATAATGTGAATCTGTGATAAAGTCAACAAATACGTGATATTTCTTATTTAAAATTATAATTGTACATAAACATTCGTTTAAATACATTCTCATTTACGAATACGCCCACTTAAGTTGCAACGTTACCGGATGTACAGTGACATATTGTAATATGTTACAGTTCGCCATTGTGACGTAACACGTCATTCCACTTCATTTATTCTATTTACAATAATGGTTAAATTTATAATGCATCATTAAACTCAATAATATTATCGTTAATATGATATATCTGTTATCTTGTCAAAAAATTCTGAACCTTTCTGAAAATGACAATAATTTCGCTTGGACATGTGTACAAATCTAGCATTGTACAAGTTTCTTGTTCGTAACTAGAAAACAGGATATCAAAGTGCATTATCAATCATCGATTTTTCTTTGACTGTGGAGTTCCGAGTTTCGCGATATTTCGAGATATATATTTCTTTCTACTTCCGATAAACTATGATATTTCTTCTATATCTAAAAAAACAATGCTTTTTCTTAAAAAAAAAAAAAAATGATAAGGTTAATTACAGTTCTAAACATGATTGGAATTACAGCAAGATATTAATAATACTTTATTATTTATGACAATTTGTACAATTACTTATAAAATAAATATATTTATTCTTAATAATTATTTCACGAATTATTACGAGAAATATTTCGCCTCGAATATTATTCTATCTTTCGAATTTCCCCTAAACGCATGGTTCTAGTTACAAGATTTGGGGTCCCTAGCGCTTCGTATCCCCTAGTACCCTTGCGCTCGAATGAATCGACACGACTTTTTGCGCTTCAAAACGCAAACGTAATCACGCTCGAAGTAGGAGAGAACGTTACTGTAACGAGCAACAGATTGGTGAATAGGATAGTGTCAAGGTCCCGTTTGACAGTGAATCGTTCCTCGTCGCAATGCCGATCGTTGAGCATGCTAGTGGCAATGCTAATGGCCACAGCTTATCCCAAGCATTGTCGGCTTCTCAAGCCTTTTCAATTCGTCAGATGGCGGCTGATACGCAGACACGCGATCGCAGCATGCATCCTTGCGATTATTATCAAAGAAGGAACAAGTCACACCGTTGAAAACGTCACGTAATCCTGTTCAAAATTATTATAAGGAAAATATTCGCTTATTCTATATTTTTTTTTTCTCTCTCTCTCTCTCTCTCTCTCCTTGAAAAATCTGATAACCTAGAAATATTTCGAAGGACATATTGTTCAATCGTCGTGAGTTCTTTCCAGGAAGGAAACCGTCATCTTGCTCGTGAAATTGCAGTTGTCAGATCGCCAAACTTTTTACCCCAACTTTTTTTATTAAAATTTTTCATATATAAAAATCTTTTTTAGTCCAGATCCAATCTCTCTTTTGCAATAAAATCTCGCCAAGTTAGTCTCGCGAGATGGAAATAAATTTACAACGAGAGAACGAGATAAATATTCAAAATAACGCGATTGGAAGATTGATAATAAAATTTTTGGACAATTCTTTTACCGCGTCTCGACGAATTTCTGATACTTTGCTGTCGCAATATATAATTATCATTTTTACACAGATTGTACACGTATATTCCCATTACGTGGATTTTTCATATTTCCCAAGAGGAAATCCGTGTAAAAAATTTGCGATTATGCGGAGACAAATTATATTCATAAGGAATAAAATAATATTGATAAATCATTTAATTTAATCGGGCCTTTCCAACGATATTTCTAATTACGAAATTAGAAAATACGTTGTAATTTATCCAGATAATCATTAGGGGAAAACCAGGGTGACAATGTATACATATATATTATATACATATAAAGATAAATATCATAGTGTGCTACTTGTCATGATAACTCAGTCGTATCTCTAATCTTTTGTGTCTCATTTTATGTATATCTGATTCTTATCGGTATAATAGTCATTATTGAATTAAATGAAATGAATTATCAAAATTTCTAGCAGAGGAAAAAAAAAAAAAAAAAAAAAAGAAAGAAAAAACGAGCCATGTTTTCACGATTACACAATCGTTTTTATAAAAGAGATTAGATATTTCTGAGGTCAGTGACGTTGTTAATTAAAAATTAGCCTTCCCTATACGTTTTATGGGACATGGTAATTACACGTTTCTCCATACACGTATATCTGTATATTTTCATTTTGTTTGATACACGATTACTTATACACATATATATATGCCACGTCTTATACGGGTTTTAACTCTTTCAAGATTGGCGTGATGATACGTTTCAAGGTAATTTTTACAAAGTGTGTACGGTTGTTATTATTTTTCTTTTTTTTTTCTTTTTTTCTTTTCTTTTCTTTTCTTTCTGTCACTATATATATATATTATACAGATAAATATATGATCTTATTCTGAAAGATTAATGAGGCTATATAAGGTGTCTCAGTTAAATCGAAACTATTTCCGTTGCTTGATTAAAAGGTGAGAAAATAAGAAGGATTTTTAATGGTTTCAAGGAGCGCATCTGATGGCGATCGAAGGAAAAAAAAAAAAAAAAATCTCTTCAAGGATGTTTTTTAAAGGTCATTCCAAAATAATCGATATTTTTTTTTTTTTTTTTTTTTTTTTTTTCTTTTACACGTGTTAACATCTGCTTTTTGCAACGTAACGTTGCGCAGTCAATGTAAAAGACTTGGTTCAAAAACGTTGTGCCCTTGAAGTGACCTTGGGGAAGAAAAATGAGTTTAAATTGGAACGGGCGTAAAAATAATAAAAAAAAGCTGTAGAAGAATGATAAGCCGGTTTATTTCGTATATGAATATTTAAAAACTTAGACTTTTGCAGACACATTCGCACATTTCGTTTTCTCTGTAAACAAATAACATGTCCATTCCTTTTTCCATTTAAAATATTTTAAACCATTTAAGTTTATAAAAAAAAAAATTCGTTGCACGAAATTTTCAAATTAAACACCGTTTTACATTACGTATGAAGGGCATGAAAGAAGATCAACCTTGATGCGTTTAAAAGCTTCTGGGATCTAGAAGAAAATAGAAGGATTATCTTAAAAAGTTTGCAACTTTGTAAATCGATGTACATATATATATATATATGTTTTACCATTATATTTATTTAGATGTGTGATTAAACATAGTGAAATATCTTCGTGATAATCGAAAAAAGTAACAAAAGATTTTAAATGTTATATATTTTGTAAAGTGAGAAAAATTCGAGGCGCGAAATTATACTAATTTATATCTTTTCAACTTTCGAACGCGTGTCGCGCGCTTTCCTTATTTTTCAAAGCGTGGAACAGAGACAGCCGACAATGAGAAATGCCAACGATAAATTATGACCAGTGCTATCCCTCGTCGTCCTTTTGTATTCTCATTACGGCGATACGGCTAATATTTTATAATCAAAATTTGCATGAAAACGGAATGTCCAATTTCGCATTGATATATTGTTAATCTCTGAAAAAAAAATTGTGATAAAAGATTAACGATAACATTTTTTAACAATTTCACTTTTCACATTCGTTAATTTTCGTATTTTAAATTTAAAAAAAAAAAGTCTACATAGTTCTAACATATACAAAATTTAAAATTATACTTTCTGATACTTTGATCTATGATATTTTTTAGATCATTTATGTTACAACTTCGTTGAATTCTCCCATTAAAATCGGAAAAATTTTAAGGATTCGTTCGATTAGCATTTACTATTTCCTCGTGATCGAAAATGATTTGTCGTCTCGGTGTATTCCACACGAACGATGCCAAAAATAACATTTCGTCCAAGCATCGATAATTATAACATCGACCATTAGCCTGATGAGTTTGGAAACTGGACCTAATAATCGTAGAGCGTTTAATTAACCTTCGTAATCGCGTTAAGCACGAAAAGATGCGCGCGCATATATACACGCGAAAATATCAAAATTACATTTTAATAATAAGAAAACTTGTTTACCACTCTTAACTTACCAAATTAAGAACGAAAAATTATATATCCATTCGATTCACCTCTAAATTTATCTCTGCATTCTTTAATTATGCACACCTCATCGTGGCAAGGAATCCTTTGCGAACTCGAATTCAAATCTAACCTAACATTGTATCGATATCGTAAGATGGTGGACACAGGATGACTCGATGAGAAATTGTAACGGAACACGCACGTCCCTTCTTCCTTTCCACTTACCAATGCTATTGCCATGCTATAATCAGTATCAGAGGAAATTTGCCCGATTGTTCCACCTCCTTTCTCACCAACTAGCCTGCTTTCTATCCACCCTTTGAGTCGACTCGACACTATGAACGCGTGGTGACGAGCTGTATTGCTTGATCGGTATGGCGCTCGATCGGCAGAGTCGTTGCGACACCATTCGCGACACAAAAAGGAAACTCTTCTGCATTTGTACTTGCAGTTATACCGCTGCCAGTCCCGAGAACGACGATACGATTCATTGTTTTCGTAAGTCTGTGTCTTGTAACAAAATTTGGTGTTTCATTCATATTTTTGAATATTGTTGTTTCGATATATTTTTATTCGTGATTTTTATACAAAAATTTTTCGCGTGTTATTTTATCGTCGAAATAAAACGACGAGTTATACTTACAGATTAAACATTGGAAGGAAAGTCTGGATGCAGTTGTAAATAATAAGTTGTAAATAAATAAATTCATTTGAAAAGTGTTGATACATTTCTTTACGCGATCGTTGAAATTTTTGTGTGAAAAATGTTTCGTATGTATTATTCTATCGTATTTTTAATTTAATTTAATTTTTGTTTAAATGAGACAAATTGTTTTTTAATTTATGCAAGTTGAATTTGAAAAAAAAGTGGAAGGAAAGTCTGAATGCATTTTATAAATATAAATAAATTCATTTGAAAAGTGGTAAAGTGATTTTTTTTTTTTTTTTTTTGTTTAATATTTATTCTACGTATTAAGTTAACGCGACGAGTGATTAGAGATAATGCAAACGAGACGATAACAAAATTTGTTTATACGTAAAACGATCTTGTTATATCGTGAAAAATGAAAGTAGCGGACCACTTACTTAGATATTATCGTAAGGATTGTCGATTGAGCTTATTAAAGCGAATGTAAGACGAAGTAATCCGATACACTCGCACGTGTTTTATTTCACTAATCAAAAATGATAAATACACGATTGTTAAAGAACTAGTGAGCGTACATATTTTGTCCGTGTCGTATCATTTTTCATAATACCGAAGAAGGAAGTACAGGTTTAACCGTATTCCCATTTCTTTTTTGTATTTAATTAACGTTCGAAGTAAAATTAATCCATTAATATTCAAGTTAATGAAGAGTAAGAAAAAAAGTGAAAAATGTATCTCGACTTATTACGCTTTGACCAGACGCACGACACACTTTCTTACGAACGAAAGAAAAAAAAAAAAAAAAAAGAAAAAAAAGAAAAAAAAAAGAAAAAAGAAAAATAGTATAGAGTATACGATCGAAGGCTTAACTGCACATAGCTGTTTTGATTTTGTTCTGACGTTGTTTTGATTTTATTTCAGGTACGCGGAACGCAGTCAAGCTGGCTGCCTCCGCCGGTAACCCCTCCGCTGCCGTCGCCGCCTCCGCGCATCCTCCTGTGCTTTGGAGCTCGCGCAGGAAGCCCGGTAAGTCCATCTATGCAAATTATAAACGTGGAATTAGCATTTTTATAAATCTTTTTCAACGAAAAAATTTTTTTATCCCTTCGAATACCAATACCTTCGAATTTAGATCGAGATATCGATTAAATGAATATTAAACGATATGCAAATACGGAATTATAAAATAAAACGTGTATCAAAACGATTTAAATATAGCCACTGGTTCTGAAAATAAACATAAATAAATATAAATTCGATCGTGGGAAAACTGAGAAGGAAAATCAAGCGACCCGTAATTATTTAAAATATCATCAAACTCGAGGTACAACAAGTACACGCATAACCTTTATCGTACTGTTCATTTTCTCCGATGCAAGATAAATTGCTCACAGGGAACGCGACGATTTCCTGCGTTGGAGCGGAAAATTGTTATTCAAAGATATGATTCGAAGGGAAAAAAGATTGGCGCGATTAACGTAACGATTGCAGCGATTGGCCGCTCGTCCCCGATTGCGCGCGCATCTGACAGGGCTGCGGACGCAAAGCGTGCAATTGGCTCTCGGGGGTTAATTTCTCCGCGACCGGCTAATTCGATACGAGTCGTGCTCGTTTGACCCCCACTTATTGACCCTGCCCGATTAATTCACAACCTCTCGGAGGTCTTTTGGGATTGCAGCGTGTGCAACCTCGTTTCCTGTGCCTCGTGTATTTTAATAATGGAGTCCGCGACAATAATAATTTTGCGATTTTGTTCATTTATAAAACCGATAATTATACGATTGGTATATCGAATCGTGATCATTACAATCGTTAATTTAATCTGTATGATTACTTAATATACTAAACGTTTTGTTCTCTGTTTTAAATGGTGGCTCATTGAAAAATTTGAGGTTATAGGAGAATAAGGTACAATGATAAATAACTAAACATCGCGCATGCGCGCATTTTTTCTACTATATAGAGACATTACACGTAAAGTGAAAAATGCAATAAACTAACACCGCACAAGCATACATTATAAAGTAAACGTAAAACACGAAACGAATAGCGTGTATACTAAAAGATAAAAGTTTGAAATCACCATAGAGTTAAAAAATCATGTCATTTATATTTTTCGTACAGAATTCGGTCACAATTTCAATTGTTCAATTATTCGTAATAATAATCTGTATAATTAATTCGAGTGATCGTAGATAAAAATTACGAAAAAATTTATTTGACAAACAAAAGAAAAAAATAATCTTGAATTCTTTTTTTTTTTTTTTTTTTTTTTTGCCATTATCATCTACCACACGCAAAAATATTCGAAACGGGTAAGAGATCGAAATGTCGAGTCGAAACGGATGAAAAATGACAGATGACCTTTCGATCGTGATACAACGAAACTACCGTGACCTTGTTCGTACTAGCAGCGAAATGAAATCGAGGCAAGCGGTTCTTGCGGCATTGACACGCTTGTCAATGCCAATGGCAGCTTCGGTACCAAGACACGCTTTCAGACCGATCCTTTACCCCCTCCACCGATCTTGTCCCGCGATATACCTCGTGTTCCAAACAAGTTACGTTATTACTTTGGCCCGTACGTGGGCCGAGAGAGGAAGGTCGCAACCTCCGTGAATTAGCGGCGTCCTAATTGACGTATCCGTTCGAGCGTTTCCAGCTTGAAGCGCAACTGCGCGCGAGGATCAAAGTCGATACAGAAGAAGGAAGGATTTTGTTGAACATTAAGATTATGAAATTTTTGTCGAAATATATATATATATTTTGAATTTAAACTCGTTGCCATTATGTTATTAGGAAACAAGTATAAAATTTTATTGATTTTATCGATGATTTTTTTTTCTTTTTTCATTACTATCATTTATCAAAAAAATATTAATCAAGATAGGGAATTGTATGTTTTTTTTTATGAAATTATATTTTAATCGTAGAATGTTTATAATTTTTTGATTATAATCGATCAATTTTCCCTCGTGGAAACGTCCCTTGGAAAATTATCAACTTTTTAATCGAGAAGTCAATGTATTCGATTGTTATATAGTTCTTACGCGCTCTATTATGAACGCGGCAATGAATTGCGTGTTTTAATTAATATCAATATCTATATTTCGTCGAATAAACATCACGTTGGAATAACAGGAAATTATCATCTTCGCTCTCCTCGTTACAATTGTACAATTTTTCTCATAATCGTAATATATATCGTTTCAACATGGCCTCGATATAACATAAATGAAACTCTATTGATTATTTAAAAAAGAAAAAAAAAAAAAGAAAATTAAGTTAGATAAATAAAACGAGATAAAACGAGAAAATCAGAAAGCAATTGAATGGTACGATCGCAAGGAATCGCAATTACACGATCTATATTACATTCTCGCGGATGTCGCCGCTTTTGACGACACAACTAATGAAAAACGGCTGGAAGCGCGGGCGTGTCCGGTCCGTGCTAGCGCAGAAACGTCGGTCGCAGATCGGGGATTACCTCATGTTTCAGGAAACGTTGCATTAACCTCTTGTCTCTCTTTTCTCCGTCGACGGAACATGGAAAAAAGAAAAGGAGTGGTCAAACGTGTTTACGATTCCTCGAAGCAGCCTGTCTTATTCAACATATTTTAATTATTTTATCCCGTTGAATTTCAATTTTTCCGACGAACGATAGAAAAGAGTACGAATCAATGTAAGAAGAAATTAAATTTCTGAAAAATTCTGATACCAGGAAAGAAGTCGATTACGTCAAATTTTCCTCCTAGAAGTATAAATATCTTGGACATTTTTCAAGGATAAATCTTTTAATTTTCGACGAAACTTACTTATTATTATTTCCGATATATCCTTTTGTTGTGAAATAAATAAATAAATGGATTTTACGATGTTCGAGAAAACGTCGAAATGTTTTGACAATGAGAAATGAACAAATGTTCCATAGGCAAAAGGTAAAAGCGTTCCGCTCAAAAGATAAATTTCATCGTAAAATGGGATACGCGATTTCGAGATTTCCATCTGGCGTATTCGGCGTATTACTCGTCATGGGTGAAGAAGAGGAACGAAAGGAAGAAGATTTCTCTTTTGAAGTCGCGGGTCTCTCGACCGTTACCTCACGACGACCGTCAATTGCAACTCTCTAATCGACGACTGGGTACTCGTTAAGGAATTCTCTTAGCGGCGATCTCGTAATTAACTCGTGCATCGTTTTCTCCTTACCGTGCTAACTTTGCATTTTCGTGTCACAGTCTTGAGTAACATTGCCATTTTACACTTCCACAGGTTCGTAAAAAACATCTTTACTTTTACACAATAATAATAATGTTGACTATACGTGTTTTTAAAAGATGTTTTTTAAATCGATGGAAAACGCGTTATAATTTAGGCAATATTTTTTTTTTTTAATAATAAAAAAGTATATTTGAAAAACGTTTAAGCTCATAAGGAATTTTAATCTAGTATATAATTTCGCAAATCAAAAATAAAGAAAAAAATTAACAAGTGAAAGAATTAAAAGAAAAAAAGTCGCAAGATCATACACATAAATTTATAGAACCTTCACTCGACAGCAGGGTAGTAGCGAAAAAGAAACAATAGAACAGATAATCGAGAAAGAGGAAAAGAGAAAGAGAGAGAAGGAGAAGAGAGGAAAAAGAAGGAGGGACGAAGAAAGAAAACGACAGCTAAGTTAGTTGGCTGTTCCGTCACGTTTTCACGCGGTAAGCACACGCGCGTGCGCAGGCGTGTTGTCTGCTAAGGGGCCTAGTCGCGTACCTACACGATTTCGTTTAGGTTATGCAACTGATGAGCTAGAACTAGCTGGTTCGAAATATTATATCAATATTCGTACTATTATATCGGTATTCATATCTTTATTAATCTCATTTCTGTTTGTCTTCTGACCATCTATTAATGAAAATTTCTTTTCCTCGTATTTAATTATTTCGATCGAAATAATAGAATTTCCTTGCGTTAATTCATTTAATGTCACATTGTGATACGATTATTAGAATGGTGAGTCAATTTTTGCAATTTTATTGAAACGAAAATATTTATTTATTAATATACGAAAGTAAAAATTTTAATGATCTTTGTTAATCGAATTAGAGAAGAAGTGGAATAGAAAGAAGTATGAAAATATGTAACGAAAATATTTAACGATAATATATTTTGACGTTATTTCGGCATACAATGACGGGATTGTTAGATAAAGTTCAAAACCTCTATAACGCTAACGTATTTATTTCGACATGTGTTAAGTTATTAATTAATAATTCGCCCACATAAACCAGTGCAGTTTATTCGACATGTGTGGGAGACGGAACAGAGAAAAGGAAAAGATGCGTGATACAAAAATATTTACTTGTGAAACACATTGATCAATGTATTTACTAATTTCGTGATCACTTTAATTTGTATCTAATATGTTTATCTTCAAATAAGAACGATTTTAATTACACGTTAGTTTATTGAAAACTATTCTTTAATTTCATTATACAAAGTTTATCGTTAAATCGTATTGTGAATTTTAATTTTCCATAGTAAAAATGTATTTTTATTTATGCAACCTTGATGTAATCGATAGAAGTGTTCGTAGCGCAAAGAAGTTTAATTGTTTTGAAACGACGTACAATATATATGATTTCATGCAGGCAATCTTGGATTTCATGTTTCATGAGATAAGCAGGATTGCCTTCGTAAAATAGTCATACACATATACTCTGTACAGAACGTTCTATCATGCAAAATGTAATTCTCCTTCGACTAGAATCAGAGACTAAAGAGTGATGAAGACTAATCATATTTGTTTTGACAAATTTGCACGATACTAAAAAATCTACTGGTAATATTATATATTACACATGTAAGTATATATATATATATATATATATATATATATATATATCCTTCTCACCTATGGGTTTCTCTCATTTCTCACTAGTCATTCGTATACTTATGTAAATAGATGAACGTACCCGTGGTTATCACACGAAAGTCGATGTAAGCACATACACGTCGGCCAACAGAATAGATAACAATTTTTATCTGGCCTCCCGTCTTCCAAGCCATCGTTCTCTTTCGCTTTGGTGACGCCATTGCACTTTACCATTTTGCCGGTAGTTAAATCAGCAAGGAACATAAATTTTGATACCTAATTCAAAAATTCATATTGTTGTTATGATAGATTAATTTTTTTCACGCAAAAACAGATTTATTTTTTAGATGGTAGAGTAACGTATAAATGTTAAATTTTGCAAATATAAATCGCGACATTAAATATTTGCATAAGCGTGAAAACGATTCTTCTGGAATTCTTTCCTTTTCGATCTCGTTCGTTTTTTCTTTGAATTTTTTGCGTCAAAGGATTTCTGGTTTTCCTTTTATTTCGTTAATCTCTTGTCTTTTATTTGCCATTTGTGGGTTTGTGTTTATCGGCGATATCTGGATTTCAAATCGATATGTTCCGTAATCGATTATTGTTCACATTATCATATTTGCAATTCTTAATACGAAAAGTTCAAGAGAAATTGAAATTTATTTATTTTATAATTAATTTAATTATAAAATAAAAATTTAGATTTAATTTATAAAATAACAATGTTTAAATGATTATTGTAATATTATTCAATTGATTAGTTACAAATTATAGGTTATATTTATTTTTTCTTTAAAATTTTACGTGAATAGAATAATCAAGTTTTCATAGTTATAAAAAAAAAATTAGATTTTTTTGTTAGCTGTCAATTTTCTTTTTTTAACTTTGAAAATCTTTTCTCTTTTCTTTTAGCTTACTGTGAAATTTTTTCTTCTTTTATTTCTCTTTCCCTTTCCCTTTCCCTTTCCTTCCCTCGCCCTCTTGAATCCATCTCTGTCAATCGTTTTGGCACAATTGTTGCGATCTCTTTCTCTTCCCTCTCTTGTACTTAATCTTTTCTCTCTCTTTAGCAACCTATCGTTGTTCTCGTCAGTCATATGCGTTTCTCTCTTTCTTGCGCTCCCTCTCTCTAGCTTGTTCGACTCTCGAGACCGTGACTGACTCGATTCGCTTCGACTCGGCAGTCGCGGTTAAACTCGCGCAGGAGGCGTTACGTGCGATTTTCGCGTCACGCACGTTATTCATAACATAACGAGAGAGGGGAAAAAAGAAACCGTCATAACGGCCGGCTTTTTGTTTCTCAAATGTATATATCCGAAAGTATTTTGTGTCGTAAAGAGTGAACTTTTGTATTTACACATATCGATCGTTCTTCAAAACAATCGATTCAATTCGAGATATAATGTTTAACAAGAGAATCACGTTTATCCTAGTCTGTTGTTTGAAGGCGAATGTATTATCGTCAAATGTGGCACACGATGAAAAGAATTTCAGCGTGTTGAAATTCTGATTGTATCGAATATAAACTTCGTTTCGCAAGGCAGTGAAAATTGTCCGTAAGAGAACGATCGATATTCGAATTGCGATCGAAGTCTGGTGACAAAAGTGAGAAAGTAAACAAGCTGCGCGTGCACCGTTGTCGTGTACGCCATGTGCGTCCCAGTCATATCCACAAGTGCTTTGAAGAAAGGTGGTTTTATCGTACGATAACTCTTCGAATTCTTCGATAGCAAGAGAACGAAAATTATTTGTAATCAAACAGAAAATTTAAATTTAAAAGTGTCGTTAAGAATAACGTGATATTGCGTCTGCAAATGCAATTTTCTCGTTTTCAAATTTATTTGAGTAATGCGATAAGGTTAGGTCGCAATTCATCGAACAAAAAGAAAGAGTTGGAATAATTAAAAGATACGATTCGAGCATTCTTGTTTCGCGTACTAAAAAAGTGGACAGGAAGAAGATTGTTTGTAAATCTCTGATTTCTCATCTGTATTCTGTGTCAAATGTCGGATAAGATTGGGATAAAAAAAATTGGGCGAGATAAATTTGAAAATCAGCTGTTCATTGAAGTAATAGAGCGCGTTGCGTTAATTCCTCTACGAAGATTGACGTTCGATCGTTAAAACTATTTCAACGTCACGTATTTCGACAAAACGATCGCGAGATCGTAACAGTAGTTCGGAATTCAATTCGAAAGTTGATCCATCCTACATCCAGTCGTTAGAAGTACAGTACTCGAAAGTGTTGAATTCATTTAAATACTGTTCGCGAAAATCAGTTATTCCTTCGTTCTCCCTACAGTGTTAACAATTAGTGCCACGTCTTTTAACGAACAGTTTGATCGATCATTAAACATTCTTTATGACTAACGATCATTTGCCGAGATGAAGAAATGATCGACGTCGCGAATCGGAGGCGCAGCAGTCGGCTTCCAGCTCGTGAACGAGTCGATTGAACATCGTCTCCGACGAGCGACGTTTTCGACGTTTTAGATCGTAATATCGATTAATGAAAAAAACAATCGAATTGAGAATCGATTTCGTCCATCTACCTCTATCGCGAAAACGAAGTTTCTGCGCGTGTTCAGTCCCCCCCAGGCACGTGGATGTTATCGAAGGAAATTTGCCCCGAGAGGTCGGTTCGCTACGTGGGAGCGATTACAACACAAGCGAGTTCATTCATCGTAGGGATTCCAGTGCACCGGAAGTGACGAGACGAGAGTGCTTCCCCGAAGTTGGTTGCGTGCGCGCGAGCGCACGAGTCGTCAACTTCTCTAGCGGAACGCGGTGGAGCGGTTGAAGAGCGTGTAACGTGCGTGTATAGCGGCGTTCCGTGTGGAACGGGAAACTGCGAGCGTGGAGAGGAGAAGAGAGAGTCGAAGCGAGTCGCGCGCGAGTGGTAAGCCGTTCGAGAGAAAAGGTTCGAGAAGAAGAACGTGCAGCTGGGGCGAAGAACGGTGAAGAAAGGGGGAGAAAAGGAAGCAGCGCAGAAGAGGAACAAGGATGCGGTCGTGGTGGAGAATAGCGGGCTGCCGGACGACCAAGCAACGTCCTGCGAGACGCACGGTCGCTCCTTGAAGGACACCGCGGTTTTCGTGTCCGGAGGATGGACTGCTCTCTGTCGAAGGAGGAACGAGTTGCGTGCGAGACGAGCGGCGCTCGATTCTTACATGACGACCACGCTGTTTTATGAACCTGATTGTTCCACTTCGTCGAGGCGCCTCGCCACGCTGAGCGCACGATTATGCAGCTGAAGAAAGCGATGCTTAAGATATTCGATCAATGTGAGTTGCCGATTTTTGCTTCTTTATGTTCTTTTGTTTGGTTTCTTCTTCTTCTTCTTTTTCTTATTTAGGTTTTTTTTTTGTATTCATGCGCGTCGTTGTTTCATTCTTAATTAATAATTTAGGTTAGCTTGAAAATAGTGTTATTGAAATTCAATATTTTGTAAAAAATTGTTTATTTCAGCAAATTAATCCAATAGCACATATAACTTTCTTTTTAGATCAATTGTAGAATTTTGGACTTTAATCAAAAACGAAATAACGAAGATTCAATTAAATTATAAAAAAAAATTATAAATCATTTCTCTCAAAAAAAAAAAAAAAAAAGATTTATCTTTTTAATTTTCGTATTAGCAAATATAGAACTTTCTACATTTTTCTCTCATCAATTGATATTCGCTGCAAATTAAACACGTGAGATATTTCGTTCAAAGTGTCACGATATCGCGTGACGAGATATCTTATTCGTGGATGCGAAGAGGTTAACGATATGCGGAAAAAAAAAAAAGAATTTGTTTTTCATCTTTATTAGGTTAATACGTGTTTAGTTGCGCGTAACTACGAAACGTAATCGCCACATTAAGGTTCAGAAAGAGTTCAAAACTGAAAGATGTTACGTCTTTGAGGTTATGAAACAGCTGTCAAAAGTAATCGCGGTAATGATGTCATTCGATATAATCCGATATCGATTGTAATACATTTCTATGTATCGTTTCGGAGACATTTTCTCGCAAAGCGATGAAATATCTTTGCATATCGTTATTAATATAAATTATAAATTTATTAATTATTCAAATTTTCGTATTTTCGTGTTATTCATTCGCGCACGAAGTGACGAAAACTTGCATATATCTTTTACGATCGCGAAACGAAAGTCAAAAACGTTCGAGGGAGGGGGAAAAAAGGACCATCGCGTTTCAACACTCGCGCATTTACAGATAAGAAGCATGAACGAACATGTATACGTACATACTAACGACGTAGTTGTCGCAGCTCTGTTATCAATAGCTCGGTGCAATCGCACGGGTAATAAATTAGATCCGCTCGTAGAAGAGAATCACCGAGCGTTTCTATTAAACGTTAGAAAAAGAAAGAACATGCGTCGTGTCTTCGTCGCGTTTCGACTTACGGTAGCTGCGCGGTATATCCCCCCCTATGGAAAAGTTTCGGTAGTAACAAACGCGGTATCACCACGGGGCTGTTGGTGGCCGTAAATGCAGCCGCTTGCTCGAACGTCACGTACCGAAAGTATTGTATTTCGTGTGTAACCGTTTCTTCCAGCATGGAGAGCACAGTGGATGGCCGGATTGGATGGGTGTATGCAATAAACGCAGCGACGCGAGGTGCATGACTACGCGTTTTCTGTACGCGCGTGTACACGGTTGACCGTAGCCGCATGCGTACGTAACGTGATTCCTTCGTGCACAGCATGGGCCCCATTAGTGGCCCCCAGGTCGTAATAGCGTAATAGCTACGATAGCTTACTGGAAGGTATCCGCGAAAACCCATAGCCTCTTTAGGATAACTCGATCCCCTATTCGTGTCACCGAATAAATCTTTTATTCAACTCTTCTGCTGTTATATATTTCGATGATGATTTTATTCTTGTGAATTTTTATTAGTTAAAAAATTTTGGAATTTCTTTAAATTTTCCGAAAATTTTTCAAAGTCTTCTCGCGTGGTCTGATGATTATCTCGAAATTAATTCTCGAAACAATCGTGCTGCTTATTCGATACGGATCTTCGATCGAATATAATACTATCGCTCGAAATTATATGAGTTCTTCTCGATACGATTTCGTTAAATGGCATCCGTATCGGTGAATTATCTATCATCGCCTCGGTTTCTAGACAATTTCGATCGATCGACGCTCGAAAATTTCTATTACAGATATTGAATAAGATTCTTCCCTCTCTTCAATATCGTGTTGCAATTTTAGAAATTTACGTACGTGAATATACCATGATTTAAGTAACACGCAATCGCGTATCATTGGAAACGTGTAGCTCGCTATGAATTTCACCTAATTAAAATGGTAAGGCGTATATGGTAACCGTGGAGAAGTATATACTAAGAAAGCTTGCTTGAGTAATTTTGAACGGGTTTCTATGCTACTCTCCTGAAATGAAATCGTAATTGGATACTCGCATCGTAGCAATTTACTTCGACTCTTTCTGAATTCGTTGCTTTGGAACGTGCTCCATTTTAAATACTTTTCATCGTCAATTCAAACATTTCTAGAAAAATGAAATACGATTTCTATTTGTGATTTCACTTTATCGGAAAAGAAAAGACATTTTTTTTTTTTTTTTTTTTTTTTTTTTTAAGATCACCAGAAGACATTTCTTCAATGTTTATCGTTTATTTTGAGGGGAGAAAAAGCTTAAATATTTGCTCTCGGTCAAATAAAGTTATAGCCAGGGCTCGATGGCAAACCGGAAGCATCGTGATAGCCGATGCACAATCTTAATTTAGTTGATATGAATTTATCAAATAATCCTTTCTCTTTCTTTGATAGAATTCTCTCGTGTTTGCTTTTCATTCGTGTTTCGAATGAAAAGGAAAAAAAAAAAAAAAAAAGTAGTTTAATTTAGTAATTTAGAAACGAAAAAGAAGAAGAAGAAAAAAAAGTGCTATTATTATTAAAAAATTCCCTCTATCAATTCTCGTTTGATATGCTCCGTTCAAAAAATAAAAATTTAAATTCAAAGTTGAAGCACTTGTTTCTTTCCCTCCCTCTGTTATTTCGTATTTTTGTTGTAATTTTCTAATAAAAAAAACTTCAAACGGCTTCGGGATAAGCAACTCTTTTTTTTCTTTTATTATTTATAAAAAAGAAAATAAAAAAATACACTGATAAAGTTTGGCCGGAAAAACTGGGACATTCTTCTGTGCATATTATCTCCTATATCTTTCACCGATGAATTTTTAATGGAAAAAAAAAAAAAAAAAAAAAAAAATGAAAAAATAGAAGAAAAAGTACTTATACTGTCCCTCGACAAAATGGTGTAACACTGTTTAATTCAACGTACAAAAAAAAATTTTTTCAAAATTATGAAAAATTATTTTCATAATTATTATTTCTAATTATTATTATTATTACTTGTAGATTAATTTCATTAATTTCAAAGAAGAAACTCTAAACACATTAGAATATTCACATTTCACATTCACGGGACATCGCATCGTGACAAAATTACATAAAGCGTACAAATGAAGTCCCATTCTTCCTTGGAATCGTTGTTGTTACGGAATGATATATCGACAATTGCCTTGGACGATGTAAATAAGCTTTGTTATTAGCCTAAGATGTTTGCTATTATGGCCTAATCGCGGGTAATTATGTAGAGAAATTTAAAAACAAATTTGTTTGCTCACTAATTCATTGTCGGCTATTATGGATTTATTCGTTATATTATTTGAAATTTTTCGATGATGGATAGAAAAATTGAAAAATTTTTTTTATTTTTCTACTTGCTTGGTAAATAAATAAATAAATAAAAAGTCATATCATAGGTATTCAGGTAAAATGAGGAAAAGCTTTTCAAATTGTAAGCTCCAGAGCTTTGACGTTGCGTATAAACTGTAACGGTATCAAATTAGCGTTAAAATTTTTTGGGGAAAAGATCTAGTTATTTTTCGTTACTAGCGTCACTGTTCGATACACAAGATTTCCTTTCCATATTTCTGGAATATATGAAAAAAATTTGACGCCGTATCGTGTATCAAATTCGCCAAATCTTAAAATAGTTTTTATTTATTTATGACGTACGATCCGGTAGTTGACGTACACTTGTTTCCGTTTTAATCGGGTGAGTCGAAGTTTATATCGGCTATCTAACTGAATTGTACGTTATAAATGAATAGAACCTATTTCAATATCTAGTAGTTAAAATGATATGTGATATTATGATTCTCGAATGGGTTTTTTCCATATAATTTGAGAATATGAAATGTCTATGTCACAACTGTGAATGACTTTAGTTTTTTTTATGGAAAAAAATATTTCTAGGAATATTTTGGCCGAATTAATTGCGTTTCAAATTTTAAATTACTTTAAAATATAATAATACTTTGACATATGTTGAATTTACGATAAAATTTTAATCCAATTATTCCTCGTCGTATATATATCTGATTTTCGCAAAGAAGTGTTCTTAATAAATTGGAAATTGTCCAACTAGTTTGTAATTCTAAGTCGTGACTCATGTGCGGAAATTGTCGGCTAAAAATTCTGAATAAGTTTGCTAAATGATATGATAGATAATAGATAGTAAAAAAAGTAAAAAAAATATAGTATCGAAGAATGATAAAACTCGAAAGCTGATGCTTACCTTAATCATTTTTCTAATAACATGAATCATAGATTCATTTACCGGAATCGAGTTTCTTTTTATTAGAAATCAAAAAATAAAATGATAACTAAGATAGATTTTCTAAATCACTCCCGTTTTCTGGCTCATAAATTAGTAATTTAAACAAAACAATTTCTAGACATCTTTAATTTAATCATTATGTTTTTCATTAGTATAGAACAAAATATTAACATTAAAACATTTTTTTTTTTTATAAAAAAACGAAAAAGAAAAATAATATTTTCTAAAAAAAAATCACTTTAATTATAAACATAACCTATATCTTATTCATTGATGTATTATCACCATATTCATATTTTCATATCGAAACGAAATATTTATACGAATATTTCATTTTCAATCTTCCATTTGAAGAAAAATAAGATATAAGAAGAAAGGAAAAATTAATAATCACATTATATAATCTAAATGCTACCCATTAAAAATCAATGTGTCATAACGATATTCTTTCTTTCGTAATTAAAATGAAATACCTATATATTTTATTTCCAATCTTAGAGAGAATTTAAAGAAGAAAAGAAATTAAAATTGAAGGAGGATCGTAGATGCCAAATCGAACATTGCCATTAAGAAAATGGTTGATTCGGGTTAAATGGGAAAGGCTGCTCGTGCTTGCAAGCTTACCGACAGGCTCACGCACTCACACGAGCATCGACCGAGTTTAATATAGACGCGCGTTCGTGCCGCGTTCTCTTCTTGCATACCGAAAGTGGACCTCGACGACGAAACCATCACGACTGTTGCTCAGTTCGCTACGGTGAATGCGTTTATTTTTCTCTTGTCGATTCCATCAAGCTAGACGGTACGTCGGCATAGAATTAAAACGGTGGTGGTTCGACGTTACTCTAGCTAGATCAAAATTCAACGACCAAAAGAAAAATTCTTTTTTCGTCATTTCGATTCGTATCTTACGCGATTCGTATAACTGCGTTTATAGAGGTTAGATTTATTCTTTTCATGCATTTTCGTAATTTGAGAGTATTTCATTTTAGATATTTAATACAGATATTTTATACAGTTCATTCGTTTTATATAATTTATACAGTTCATTTGTTTTATATAATTTTTCAAAATTATTGGAATACATATAGAGTTTAGATTATAGTTTTAGATGTTTTTCAAGGATGGATTTGAAATTAGGTTAGGTTTGAATTTTGTAATATTGAATTTTTGTTATCCAGAATTGAAGAAAAAATATTTTAATTTTATAGTTCATTCTGAAAAAGTTAATTTGTTGATATAAGTTGTAAGTTTAGAGTAAAATTTTTTAGATTTGTATTTGTGATATAATAAAAGTTATCCTTTCAGTTTGATTAAATTCGAGTGTCAATATTATAATACGATAAGAGCATTTTTTGTAAATATAAATATTTTTATCAAATTCGAATTGTTTGATTTATTAATAAAGCATCATGAAAAATAAACGACATGTGGATAAATAAAAAATAATTGCATTGCTAAGAATGCATGTTTAAATGTACAAAAAGCTTTTAGTAAAATTATTTACTTCAAAGATTTATTCAAATAATATATATATATAAAACTATATATATATATATTAGCAAAGGAGTTAGAAATGTATGATGCGTTATCAGAAACAGGATTTAAAGTAATAAATTGAAAGCAAGTTTTCATATATCGAATTCCATTATGATTTTTAAATAATAACAATCAAGTATCAATATAATAATTTTGGTCATATATTTATATATATTGACAGTTTATTGCAAAAATATTATGTGTTATTTTCAATATTATTTATGATAGAAATATATTTATTTGATAGAAATATTATATAATATTATAATATTATATAATTAATAATATTATATGATAGAAATATATTTAGTTATTGAATAATTAATTAAAGTACCATATGTACATTCAGTATCGATTATGCAGGATTTCAGTAAATGTAACATAATGTAATTACGTTTATAGAATTGTCTATGCAAACAATTTTGGAAGGAAAGGAGATTCTTAATATATTTCGGTATATCAAGAGTCGCATATGCTTCAGAAGATGGATGTTAATTTGGGAAGACTTTGGTATCTTGTTATCTCTAATGATGGAATATCCCATTCCTAAATTGAATTTCCAAGTATGTGTATAAAGTTAGTTTCACGTTATCTAATTTATGTTCTAGTCTATATTGATTTAGGGATTTTTAAAAATTATTTACAATTAGTTTTTTTTTTTTTTTTTAATAAAAAATTATTATTCCATTCTTGATGCTTTAATCTATGTTTAATTTACTAATCGTTAAATTTATGGTTTGATATTATTATTTCAGTCAATGAAAGAAAAATCAAGAATAACGAGTTGAAAAAACGATCGCATAAATCTATAAGTGCAAACTGATATTCGATAATAAATGTCGTAAAATGTTCGTCTATCGAAATTAATTTTAAATGGCTAATACGATTTGCAAATAGGAGTTCATCGGAATAAAAAAATTTTTTTGCAAAAATTATAAAAAATATATAAAAATAAAATAACATATAAGATATAAGATGTATAAAGATATACAAAGGTAATACACAACAAATTATATTAAATATTTATTCCTTTTCTTATATCATATAATTCCAATTATATTTTATGCATTCTTTGGAGGTTAGAAAAGTACTTGCATCTTGTATGTGAACTTGTTATTTCACATGTACATATTACTACCACTGCTATGTGATAAAAGAATATTATGAGTTTTAACAGGAATTTCAATGACACACTTTGAAAGTCTATGCTAAGAACATTTGGAATACTAATTGCCGGCTTGAATGAAAATTCCATAGCTACGTGTACCAACGCGGCCACCTATTTCCGTAATTGCAATGACTGTACTGCCACGGATCCAACTTGTAAATCGCTGTGATAACACGTATATACTGTGCATATAACATGTACGGCGAACAGAAATGTCCTGCGTTCACTTCGAGGAAAACATTTTTATATTTCCTGCTTCCTTCTCTTCTTCTTCATTTTATTTATTCAAATTTTCTTAATCATATTTGCGGATAATCTTCATGAATATGTGATAGCTAATATGTGATAGCATTGTAAATTATTATTTAACGTCTTAGTTCCAGGGAATGTGAAACATACATCGATAAAATATTGAAGTTATAATTTAATACAAACATAATGATATCACGAATATCATTATTCAAATCATATTTTAATAAGATTTTTACCTGAAATATATAAATATTTTTTTGAATATATGCTTATAAAAATTTTCAAATAAATTCTGAAATTTTTCGAAATTATAACTTAACCTAACTTAACCTAATTTCTATTTTCTTCTATACTTCTGTAATATTTTTTAATTCTAACCTAATTTTTTATTACGAATTCCTGAAAAATGTTAATGATTCAAATTTTTTAAATGGCAGTGTATTTGTAACGAATATCTTGGCGCCACATTTCCGTGAGTTGACGACGACGCCGCTCCGGATCACCGGTAGGCCGTTGTGATAACTCTCGTGTCAGGCAGCCAACGATTATATAGGCAAAAAAAAGCATTCTTACAGTAAGACATATAACAGCACCGTTTCGCCGACAACACCCATTCAACGTGAACTGAAAACCAAGCAAACCGTGCCATTATTTCTCTTTCAATTGCGACGTTTAACGATGTCGACCCTTTTTCCACACGTATTACTCATTATTCAGAAAACTCTTAATAATTATTAAGTGAAGAATACACCGAGAAGAATAATGGACAAAAGGAAACAATTAACTTTTTCGATAAACTTTTGTGCAAGAATTTTTAAAATTACCGTTATTTTCGATACGTATACGTCGATTTATTATAGTGGTATATCGGTATATTAGCTTCTTATTGTTGTTAATGCGATAATAGATTTGATAATAAAAGAACAAAGCAACGCATCTAATATCACAAGAAGTTTTAAATCATATCATTGATGCAATATTGCAATCGGTCGATATCATATATTTGAAAAATTATTATCATTTCCGGATTGATTATCTCATATACTTTAATATTTACTTCGTAGTATTTTCCTTTTATTAGTTGTTATATCTATTTAAAATTTTTAACACAAAGCAAAATACGAGAACAGCTTATGAAAAGCTTATAAGCTAAATAAGTGAAATAATTTCATGAAAAATTTTCAATCTTCTTTTATTTTTACTTAACCTATAAAATGAATTCATCGACTTATATCTTTGGAATGCTCTAAAAAAAAAATTACACATTAAGAAAAACTAACAATGTAAGATATCAAATATAAAATATCATTGCAACATCTGAAGTGATAACAAATAATAATTACAATGTTGCATCAATATAAACACAAAGTAGTTAGTTTTTTATGATGTGAAAATGGTTGTTTTGTTATCGACTTTCAAACAAATGTTCAAAGATCAATCGAAACATTCATTTCTATACTAACATTAACAAAAATAATCGTAGACTCAACAATAGAATAGAAAAAAATATGAATCGCAGAAATTTCCAAACGCAATGCATAAACATTGAAATCACTTGGTCACGTCATGGCGCATTATCTCGATCAAAAATGCGAGACTCGCCACGCGAACGCGATCTTCTCGAATCGTCGTTTCGATTTCCTTCACACCCCGCCGCATTCGTTTGGCGCTGCTGTAAACGTATACACGATGCGAGCAACGAATCGCAGACAGAGGAGCGATTATGGTAGCCGGTAGCCCGCCAGCTGCCCAGCTGGCTATCAATGACGTACGAAAGAGGCTTTGACGCACGGTAGCCAGCCGGAAGAAGAGAAAGAACCGGACACTGAGAAAAAGATGTAAGCAGTTTGTCGAACGAGAAGGTGTGCGTAGAACTAGCAAAAACGGAAATTCCAAGAGGAGAAGGCACGTAGGTAGGAAGATGGTGAAAAGAGGTGGCGCTGTTGAAGAAAATAGAGAAACTGTCAAAACGAGCGTTAGAGGTTAGAAAATTGATATATCATCAGTGGTTTGTATATTATCAATTTGTGTTTGATTGTAAAAAAAGGAGATGAAATTTGATTCATTGGAGGATCTTAATTTTACGTTTTTTATATGGATTTCTATACATTCAATTTCTAAAAATTACATATTATCATGTGTGAAATTTTACTTCATATAAATTCCACTTTTAACGTGATTTTTTTTAATGATAATTTTTAAGGATTAACCTATATAAATTTGAACTTTGCAAAACAACAATATGAAGAGTTGCGGTAAAAGCAGTGGAACAGCTATAATAACGGTAATTTCACAAAATTGCATGTTGCATACATTATCATTCCGGTAAAATAAAAAGATATACAAAAATTGTAGAATTAGATAGAAGTGCAGAAGACGAAGAAGAAAAATATATACGAAGGAAACAAGATGAAATTGAGACGAGAGTATCGGGGTGGAGGAAAGAGATAACGAATCAAAGAAAGAAACAAAAGGAGAGCAAGATACGAAAAACGGTGGCATTGAACTTGACACAACGACGAAGTACCGTGGTCTTTGCGGGAGAAGAAGAGGACCGGTGCTACCGGGATTCGAAAAGAGGAGGGGAGATGAGGGCGACCGGTCGAAAAGCAGGTTTCGGTGGCCTGTTCGTATAAACTCAAAGGTAAAGTGGGAGGCCCCCGATGGACATGAAGAGAGATCGAGGAACGAGATGCGATAAATCCTTCTTCATCTGTTCGTTCCGCTTTTCTGTCCTTTTTCGGATCTTTTCGACCTTGTCGTGATCACAGATACAAGATCGACGATTGGAATTGTTGGAGTTGCGATGATTCCGTTTCCGGACACTATGAAATTCCAATATGTAAACATCGTTTGTATCATTTTCTTTTTGCCACCTTTTTTTCTTTCTTATTTTTAACCTATATAAAATTTATGTTAAATCATCGATACGATATTTTAATATATCCGCTTTCAAGCTTTTTTCATTATTATAGGACTACGAATAAACTTGTTTTATTTTGAAACAAATGATTGTGAAACGTAATTTTACGTCTGAACTATGCTCTTATATGCATAACGGTGTAAGATATAATGACTTCTTGTCGCAGAATGTATCCGGTAATGACATTTTATCGTTTATCAATAATAATGTTAAAAAAATATTTATCTTTGTCTATGAAAATCCTCAGTATTTACTTCCACAAATCGAAATATTATTTTTCTTTTTTATTACAGACAATAGCGTCGTATTTATCAAAACAATTACAACTCGATAGAGCTTTTGATACTTCTTCCCAACTCTACAATCACTGTTATATCCTGTCAAAGATAATCAAGTTTCCGGATATTTCATCGACTTCGTACACGATAAAAAAAAATAACCGCGCGATAACGACCGCATCATCAAGCTATTCAAATATTTATCATTCATTAGGAGGAAAAAAAGATGAGTGAGAACACGATTGAAATGCGAGGATGGGGATTCCGTGGAATCTCACGCGAAAATAATCCCTGGTATGAACGAAACAGTGTGTATATAGAAGGTAATTGATGGACCTTGCTTGAATCGAGAAAAAAGAAGTTCGCGGGATACGTAGACCGAGAGGCGATTGCTTACGATCACGCGGCACATCGTACTCGATTCGTTCGAGGCGCACGCACACGTGAGAGGAGCGGACGTTACTTGCACGCGTGTAAACGCTATATAGAGAAAAACATGGTTGCGCGAGCACGTCTGCACTTTCCTGCGAGCGCACACCAGCCCAGTCGAGCAAGACAGGCCGATGTGCAAAGGCGAGCTGTATGGTGTGTTGGTGGAAACAGATAGGTCAGCTTGGCGCCACCAGGCCGAGAGGCAAGCCGAGTGAAGGCCGGTCGGTTGCATGCTCTTGTTGCCTGGCTTTACTGTTCTTCGATATCCAACCATCGCTACCAACCGAACCACGCGCATTGTCATTGTCAGAGAAATCATGCATCGTGCGGATCGCTTCCCCCTTCGAACATCGATCGAGAAACCGTTCGTTCATTCCAATGAATGTGTTCGTTTTTTTTTCTTTCTTTCTCTCTCTCTCTCTCTCTCGAATCGTTTCATTTTATCGCGTGTAGAGGGATTTTTATTGAAATGCATAGGAAGCACTTTTTACTGCTGAAAAGAAATGTCTCGTGGGATCTTTTTTGTTAGGATTGGCTATCCTTTAACTTATTTTTTTAAAGACCTTTAAGTTTCTGATATCATACGTTATAAATGATTGTCTTGAATATTCAAAATAAGTGAACAGAGATGGGATTCTATTGTACAAATGATATAATTATTTTCAATTATGAAGTCATGTGAGAGGTTGCATCTCATCGTTAAACCTTCACTTGTCTTCTATCACATAATAGAATTTGTATGTCCATGACAAATAATTTTTCCAGCAATGAACAATAGCAATTGATATCATTGATTGTTTTTCGTTTTCTTTTATGAATGATGGGGAGGATAAGAGAATTAATTTTTAAATGTATGGTTAAAAATGCGTACTTTATTTCTTGATGAGTAGAGTATTATATATGAATTTATAAAAGATGTTGATGTGATATTAATGAAATATTGAATGGATTATAACGCGGAAATGAGAAGTAATGATAAAGATGAATTATCTGAGAAAAAAATCAGAAATGATATACAGTGATAAACAGAAATGATAAACAGAAAAAAAAGTGATACTTATCACGTAATTTCGAATTTAATTCAATCTTTTTTTTCGAAGCAATTATGTTGCGCTATGTAATGTTATGAAATTGAATGATTACAGAAAAATTGTACGCTCGATTAAATAATCAGATAAAGAACACTCGAATCGATACATGGGTTCCTGATCTTCGATTGATATCTTTTATTTCATCGTTATCATAGTTATTGGATGTAATCCATTGTATAAAACGATTGTAATCGCGTTTTTAGAGTTGTATACAGAGAAAATGAATCAAATAATTTTATGGAAAATGCTGGTTCATTCGTTAAAAATTCTTTATCAAACGTGACTTAAACCATGTGATAGTGAGTCAATTTTCGCTTATCTTTATGTTATGATTGCGTTTGTTATATAGTTACCAAGTTGTTACTGAACTTCGTGCTTCAATTCTTTTGAAGATCAAAATTGCAAGTCATTTAACGAGTCGTAAAACCATGAAAATGAACTTTATCATCCTAAGGATAAAAGTTTCCTCAATATGCTAAGAATGGGAAAAATCGATGAATTTGATTTATTTTTGACAATGTTTTTGAAAAAGTATGATGTAATAAAAATGCTTACCGCGTGAATATATTCATAGTTTGATAAGTTTAATTAAATAAATCTCTAAATAAAGATTACTTTTGATAGATAAAATCATTAGATTAGTAAAATAATTAGTGTCAAGTTGTCAATGTCTTTGAGATTTTAATTAAATTAATGTATAATTGTTTAAAATATTTTTTATATTTTGTTCGATTTTAATTATTCGTTCTTTTTCGTAAAAAATTTATTTTATAAAGAATTTAATCAATATCTTCTTAATTTCAATGAAATTTATTAAAAAAAGGACTTTAGTCTCGAAATACTCTAATAATAAAATACTTTAGAAATACATTCGATTTCTTCAATTCGTTCCTTTTTCGCTTCATTTTACGCATCGATCTAATATACTCGTAATTTCTTTTAAAATTTTCGCGCCACTCGATTCTTCAAATCTCACGATATATATTTCGAAAGAATAGATCGAATGCAAGCGAACGCATCACTTCATAACCTCAAAACATGTTACGATCCAAACATCCAAATGAAAGTTTACCAATAAATTAGAAAATTAGAAAATTAGAAAATCGTTAATGTTCTATTATTTCACGTTAGCAAGCGACGAAGAAGATAAACGTTGTGCAGTCAAGCTGCTGTTTCTCGAGGAAGTCAAGCAATCAAACCGAACAACCGTGGCTGGTAGAACAGATAGGTCAGCTTGGCGCCACAGCGCCGAGTCGCAGCGAATGAAGGCCGCTTGGTCGCATGCTCGTGTTCGCTACTTTACTGTTTCTCGCCACTCAACACCGGCAGCACCATAATGCGACTGGTACTGTCACCATTAGCGGTAACGGGTAAACGCTTGGATTCCACACGATCAAACGAGCGATACAACCGATCTTATTGGAAATTCGTGAAATTCCTTTTTCTTCGTTTGAAAGTAATGCGATTTTATTTAGACATAAGTGACATCTTATGTAAGTATTTTTGGCAACTACTTCGAAATGATTATAGGTATATTTGAATTTAATCGATACGATTAATTGTTATCAAATATTGAGATAACTGTTTTAATTTTTTGATATATAAAGTATACGATGCATATATGTTAATATATTCAATGAAACATCTTTAGTGGATTGATTTTAATCAAAATAAATGCAAAATTGGAATACAAAAATATCGATGCTCATTTATTAAGTTAGAAATAATTTAAGTTTAGGTTAGATTAAGCGAGCATGAAGGAGATGAGAATTACTTTATTGTTGATATACATAAAAAATTCTTGATGAAAAATTCTATTCGACGAATTCTATCGATACGAATATATTAACATTTTGCACATTTATATATCAAAATATAAACAATTTTACAAATATAAATTAATATTATGACTTTCTCTATTTATATTCTCGCCGCTGTATAAATTAAACGCGAAGCAAGTATTCTGATTTTCCTTAAAGAAAATATTAAACAATATTTGATTACAATCAGATGTATATATTTCGCACATTGTATAAGAGCATTGTTGTTATATCGCGCGCCTATACTGCTTATTCCAATTATCAGCTATTATCGAAATTACGATCGCCCCATTTATTTTTATTAAGATCGACGAGGTAGAACGATATACGATCAACGGATCGTTGAATACGGGCGAAGACCGGCTGCAAAATATCCATACCTGCGGGGCCTGGGAAACGGCGTGTACCATTAATTGTAACTAACACGCGTCCCCATCATTAACGATGGTTAGCGATCAGTTATATGGGTTATACCGTTTAATGCATACCCGTGCTTCAATGTGCGATGTGTGCAAATCGTTCGCTCGCACCGTGATTGGTGAAATATAGGCCAATGGAAGATACGTTTTATATTTTCTTTTTTATTTAATCAATCATTTATGTGACTATATACAAAGTTGACAAATATAGGAATTTATTAATGGTTTATCGTAAAATATATATAAAGGTAAGATTTTTAAACTTTGAAATTTGCATTTTTGTGAATATTTCTTTGAATAAATTTCGATTTCGAATTTTTCAAACTTTGAAGAGAAAAAGTATTGATCTAATGTAAAAGATGGATACAAATTATTAAATCAAAGAGTTATGACACGAAATTTGATTACCCATCTGTTCTGGTACATGCTATTTTGGATCATTTCCAAAACTATTACCAGAAACGGTCACTAGTTATGGCATAGTAATTGGATAGAGTAATCGATGTTTATTTTGATTCGCCTAGAATCGCGAAATACATCGAACAGAAAACAACTTTGGATTATGCAACTAATTTATCCAACTTATGCTTTGCGGTAATTTACATTAATTAAATATTTAATTTATTTGTAGTTTGTCCAATGATCGAATTGACGAGAACACCATCTATTAAAGTAATCTAATCATCCAGTTTTTAGTTTGATGAATGAAGGGATTAAATAATATGTTCAATTCAAAAAATCAATTACAACTATTTTAGTTTTATATTTTAATAAACTTTAAATGTCTTGTTGTATTTTTTATAAATTATATTAGTAATAAGAAATGAAATTTATCTTACTAGCAATGCTATAAATTAATTTACTATATTATAAGTTTAAATATTATTATATAATAATGAATATGTTGAATCATATTGACACCGAATTTTAATGATTTAGTTATAAAAATTGAGCAAAAAAAAAAAAAAAAAAAAANGATCAAAAGAATCGATTGACTCTTTGGAAAATCCCCTTTCTCAAGATTTCAAATACCAAGATTAAAAAAAAAAAAAAATGATTAAGAAAGGAATATATTAATTGATTTTCAAACTCATTCATCAAACTTTTCCTTTATCGCCGTATTTTATCGTTGACGTATTGTGGTTTAAAATACAAAAGGATGGAATAACCCCGACGCGAATCGGTACACCGGTGGACGAAGCCACGACGGGGACCCGTGGAAAAACACGGCCACCGGTAAAATTCCTACGTTGCTGGTTTGTTCCCACTGCAAAAAGTCCCATGCTAATTCAACGTTGAACGCTCGAGAAACTCGGCACGGATGAGTAAACGCGTCTCATAATCCTTCGCAACGTCGACCAGCTTTGGATATCTCGATTACAAAAAGATGAGGGGGGAGGGGAGGGGGGAGAGGGTGACGTGACACGATAATAAACCTTTCCGTAGTACCCTTTGTATCGGCCCATGGGAGAAGGAAACTAACCGCTCAACTTATTCCTCCGTACGTTTTTATCTTTAAGTCGTGAGAAACGGTTCGCAACACCTCTCGTTTAGAGGTTAGGTTTCAGTTTTCGATTCTTCTTTCTTTCGATATTCGGAAGCGAAAATTTCAATTTTTTTTTTTTCCCCCCCTTTAATTAAAAGTCATTGTTAATATTTATTTATGTTTACATGTATATATATATATTTTTTTTAGCATTTATTTGTATTTAACCAGATCTTCATTAATTATTGATAAGGAAACAAAATGAAATGACACGGAAGATGAATTAACGGATGAATAATTATGATATGCAAAAAAGGCACACGTGCGGTTATTGTTTTTTCTTTTTGCGATTCCTTTTAGGAAATCGTGGCGTATTCGTTTTGTAACGCGCGTTGAATAAAAAATAATCGTTTAAATAAACTATCGGATGCAAAATAATAATCGAACCGCAAAAGAATACCGGAATAACGCTTAATCCGTATATACGATTTCCTGCCACTGATTTTAATCGTCGCAGGGAATAAGGATTGACAATAGAATTCCAGGAGACAATAGACATTATCATTTAATTCAATGATGTTTCTAGACTTATTAATACGATTCGATGTTCGTATTCCAAAAATGGATTTTGCTCGCGGATAATCATTGCAAATATTAATTATATTTATTGTAAATTAATTTATCATGAATCATGCTTCATTCATTAATTTTATCAATTTATATATATAAAAATTATTGAATATAATTAATATTAAATATTAATATAAATATTCGAATAAAATTTCCGTTTTTGTTTTTTTTCATACAATATGTATACAACTAAAATATAAATTAAAAACTATTATATTCTTTATTTCATTATCATGTACATTATATTCCTATATTTCTATTCTGTTCTAAATATTATAAAATATATTATAAAATATTATATATTATATATTATATATATATATATTTCTGATTGATTAATCACACAGGTGTCACATGTCCTTTTGATACAGTTAATTCAAACCGGTGCAAAATCAAGATGATTTCCACTTTCAGCGAATGTTTGCGGTTTAATATACCTCGGGGAGGAATAAAGATCGGAACAGTTTGCTCAGTCCAACCCCTTCCGAGTTATTGCGTGAAACGTTTTCATCAACCTGGCCTTTCGTGAAAATGAAGAGTTACGATCCGAGGTAGCGTTAAGAAAATGGTGTATCTCCCTCGATCACGCAGGGATCAAGGATATATCTCTGCGTTCACGTTATCGTTGTCAGAATTCTAGAGAGACGTGCATTTACCGAAAATGCCACCGATGTGTTTTAAGCGTGTTTCCTTTTTTTTTTTTTTTAACGAGTAATAAATTAAAATTTGGAAATTAAAATTTATCCTCGAAATTATTTCCAAATTCAATTTAAAATTTTTCCACGCTACGTTAATGTAATTTTGAAAAATTATTTTCGACGCGTTATGGATAATTCTATTATCCATAAATATTTAATAGATTTAAAGATTTTTACGTTCAATATTGTTTATCGTTTCCTGGAGTATCGTAAAAAGAAAATTTTCAAGGAATTTACGATCCAATTTAATATCTCTTAACTCACTGTAAATACGTATACATCCGAGTTAATTATTACACGGTGCAGAATGAAAAATCTTAATTTCCTTTTTGTAAATTGTATTTTCGCGCAAGTGAGTTGGAAATATTATCGGGAATATTATTACTTATAAAAAAAAAATCTGAAGTCTTCTTATGGGTCGTAAAAGTGTCGCGCGTAGTAAAACGCTTTTTTAAAACATTCTTTTGACAAACGTAGTATCGATCACATATTATCGCGCGCACACACACACACGACGCGAATATTAAATCGTGCGCGAAACAATTATTCATCAATTTCTTTCCAACGAGCTTCTGATAGAGGATCTGATGAAATTATTCATCCTGAACGAATTCTCGTATTAAACTAACGAACGTCGATAACTCGTGGGATCGTATTAATCGATTTAATCCAAGTTCTATTCGCGCTCGTCAATTTTTCCAATTGCCGATCGTGTAACAACACGATTTATTTACAAAGTCTTTTTCCTTCTTCTAACGTCTTGAAAAAGTTGTGAAAGCTTAACTTCTTCGCGTAACATCATTATTCATCCTGTCAACGGGTGGATCTTTTTCCTTCATAACCTAAAAATTTATAGTAGCCAAGGAGATCGTCATTTTGCGTTTCTTGTTTCACGGTAAAAGACGCATAAAAAATGCGCCACGTTCTCTATTAGTCTTTGTCAAGATAAATTGAACATTACGTTTTCATCTCGAATTAATGAAGAAGCCTTTTCGCCAATTTATCATTTCAAATTTGTCCAAAGTAATGAATGTAAGAAAATATCATTCGTATCGTTCATTTGAATTATTCAAATTGATAAAAAAATATCCCCTTTCTTGAACTATTAATAATTTAATTTAATAATCCATTAAATTTACATACGTATATTTTTCAAATTTTTATCATATCATCGAAATAATAAAATAAAATGGTAGAAAAATATTCGTAATCATTCTATTGAATTTTATTCAAAATTGACGATATATAGAAGAAATATTTTCGTTGTACGAGTAAGATTTTCGCGAAATTTTTCTAAACGTAAAATTGTGAAATACGTGGTGTGTGTTGTATCTGCGGTGTATTCTTCGATTTTGTTTTATGGTGCATAAAATAACGTCGTAAAATTTATGATGCCTTTATACCGGCTGAGCGCGAAGAGGAACAATCGTTGGCTGTTGCAGCCAAACGTCTCGTTTTCCTTCCACCTTATTTTACGCGTTTTAAACGCGTACGTATGGAAATTGATAAAAAAATATATCGATAAAAACTGCGAACTGATCGGATCGAATCGAATCGAAGGAGCGTCGAATTATTTTCCGTAAATTTCTATTGCATTGTAATCTTTTCTTTTCTTTTCTTTTTTTTTTTTTTTTTTGTAACGGCCAACGTGAACAACGAACAAAACGTTTCGAAAAGTTGAGTCAATCGATCGTGGAGCGAATATAAATTTGATCGCGACGCCATGCCGTCTCGGAATTTCCGGCATTGCTACTTACACCGTGCATGGTGCAATTTATATTCCATCTTCGTTGTACGTTCGAGAGTGTTTAACGAGGTCATAGCGCGACAAATATTCGTTTAAATCTGTGATTAAGTTGATCTAATGTTGAAGACGATTAAAATTGAAAGGGATAGATTTGATGAAATATCGTATCGATTGAATTAATTAAATAATTTATATTTCGTGTCGCGGGTTAAAAGTTGCGAAAGGTTAATCGTATAATTAATCAATTGGAAAACGGATGAGGATAAAATATTAAAAAAAAAAAATTCTCCGTCAGTTTTACATTTATGAAAACGATTTCGTGAAAGATTATTACCTCTTATATGTCTTTTTGATTTCTTAACGTGTAACTTAGCGGTTTGAATGAATGAGTCGAACAAGTCGAGATAATGTTATTGGTTATCAAAGGTGAAACGTTTACAGTGTTGAATCTTCTTGTTTTAACGAGAAGTTGTTTTAGAAAGTTTTGATCACGATGCCGGTTGTTCATTAAATCAGTTACGTAATTGAATTACAAGAGAATATCTCTTAAATGAAATAAGATATCGAAACAATGTTTTCGAAATAATTATACGAGATATATCTGTAATGTTTATTACATACGTGAGAGTTGTTCGATGAACCGAAGTTTCAAATTTTTACATTCACTTTCGATTTTTTTTTTTTTTTTTCTTACGTTTCACTTTTCAAGGTCGTTTTTATTGCTACCTCCACACAATTTTATCACGTAAATGATTATCAATGTAACGTAACTATTTATTTATTTACTTTTTTTTATTATTTTCGAAAAATAATTTAACCATTAATTATTCCCCTAGTTCCCCCTTTTTTTCAAATTTTTTTACATTTCACTTTTTAACATCTAATATAAAAAAAATTAATCTCGATAACCTAACCTATTCCTCACTCTTTCACATTGTTTTTCCAAAAACAATTTAACTCTCCATCAACGATCAATTTCTTCATTATAACAATGAATTTGATTCATGCAATGTTTTAACGAGTTAAAGATTACGTAATGATAACAATTTGTCTGTCGAGTAGGCCTGCACTTGCGGAGCATCGAAGAACCGAGGATGACGGCGGAGACGGCAGCTCCTTGTGTGCAGGGGATGCAAGGGGTGCAGACCGCTATGGCCGGCCAGGGGACGTTGCAACAGGTGCAAGATGGAAAATCCACCGGTGGTTACTATTCCTCCACTTCCGCCGTCTACGATCCGGAATACGCCCGCATGGAGGCGTGGCTCGACGAACATCCCGACTTTGTCAACGATTACTTTCTCAGGTTTGTTGCTCGTGTTGTTCTAGTTTTTTTTCTTATTTCATACAACGAGTTAATTAATCTCGAGAGATTTAATTAATTTTGAATTTGCAGTGTTATTAAACAATGTTCGATTCGAAGAAGAAGATTGACGAGAGATTTCTTCTCTGAAGGAATTTTTTTTTTTTTTTTTTGCCTCTCTTTCTCTCTTTACCGAGAAAATATTATTAAAATTTATTCCGTTTATTTCTTGAAACAGTCAGAGCGAGTAATTTATGCGAGGCAAGGAGTTGATTTAATTTATCCGGATTGGAAATTAACTCGATCTTTATCGCGAGAGATCAAGATGAAATGTTATATAGTAAGTGATAATTAAAATGATAAGTAATGATTAGAGTATGATATATTATATCTGGAATTTGAATCTGGACCACGTGGTGAGAAACACATTTCTTCTTCCAGTTTTTCAAATTCTTTACACAGTAGTCTGTTTACCTGTTTGATTGTAATTTTTCAACAGATGCACATAGATATTAGATACTGTCTCTTTTTCTATTTTGTTATTGACAAGCCAGATTATTCAATGATCAATCACAAGTGTCAATATTAAGGAAATTATATAATGCAAATTCTTGGAAATATATGAATGAATTAACAATGCTGTAATTTGCAATATTAATGTGATTACATTAAATTAAAAAAAAAAAATAAATTAAAATGCAGATTTATTATGCATTTATAACAGCAGGTAATTGAGCTTAACAAAAATTTTGATAATAAAAGAATATCTTTATTATTTTTACTTTATCTGTCTTGTAATTTCTTGTAATTATTATTACAGTGAAAAAAAGAATTAGTAAGCGTTTTATTTTAATATATGTTTTATTTAATACGTTTTATTTAAAATGCAGATTTATTATGTATTTATAACAGCAGGTAATTGAGCTTAACAAAAATTTTGATAATAAAAGAATATCTTTATTATTTTTACTTTATCTATCTTGAATTTCTTGTAATTATTATTACAGTGAAAAAAAGAATTAGTAAGCGTTTTATTTTTCTGTTTTCACACTCCAATTAGATAGATCTCTTAAGATAGTTTCCTTAATTATAAGTAGTTAATTATTTCTAATGAAATATTTATAATCATCTATCATTTAATTTCTTAATATCGATTGTTCTCGTAGATATATAATTCTTGTAATTTCCTCCTTATTGCTCGATTCCATGGATATACTCGTTTAAAAAGATATTAAGGGCATGAATAGAAGGTATAAAAGTTCACCACGAATTCAATTTGACGCTTTCAAACGATACAAGTTTCGCAGATCTGGCAGACGTAATTCAATAATCTTTCACATAACAATATTATATTTCATACAAACTTTTTCTTCCATTAAATATATCAGTAAACAGAAAGTAAAAGGTAAGCGATGAAAAAGGATAGAAAAAGGACGTTTTTTCCAGATTCCTTGTCAGAAATTTCAAAATTGAAATTCAAATTTATAAAAATTTATAAATTTTAAATCCACTCATATTTCTCTTTATTTTTACAAAAAATTCTTTATTTCTTAAAAAACAATTGAATTTATTAAATTTAAAATAATATTGCATTTTTTATAGAACCAATCATAATATTACAGAAGACAGAACAATCATAATATTACATTCAAAACAAAATCATAATATTTTGCATCTTATAATTTTAAAAAATTTTCAAATTTTATGTTTCACACATATTTTTCTTTACTTCAAAAAAATAATTAAATTTTTTAATTTAAATTTAAATTTTCAAATTTAAATCATAATAGCATCTTTCATAGAAAATCATTTTATACATATGGAATCTCAAATTCTAGTCTATTCATATTCTTCCTTACATCTATCTTTCTTTGATAATTATAAAAATTTCCAAATTTTAGATTCACATATATTTTCCTTTATTTCCAAAAAACAAAAAAAAAAAAAGAAATTTAAATCATAATAATGCATCCTCCATAGAAAAATGATTATATATGGATTTTCAAATTTTAGATCCACTCATACTTCTTTCTTACATCTATCTATTATAAACAAATTCCTAAAAAAATTTAAAATAATAATAATAATAATAATAATTCATCCTTCATAGAAAAATAATTATATATGGATTTTCAAATTTTAGATCCACTCATATTCTTTCTTACATCTATCTATTATAAACAAATTCCTAAAAAAAATTTAAAATAATAATAATAATAATAGTAATAATAATAATGCATCCTCCATAGAAAAATGATTATATATGAATTTTCAAATTTTAGATCCACTCATATTTTTTGTTACATCTATCTATTATAAACAAATTCCTTAAAAAATTTAAAATAATAATAATAATAATAATAATGCATCCTTCACAGAAAAATGATTATATATGGATTTTCAAATTTTAGATCCACTCATACTTCTTTCTTACATCTATCTATTATAAACAAATTCCTAAAAAAATTTAAAATAATAATAATAATAATAATAATAATAATAAATTCTCCATAGAAAAATGATTATATATGGATTTTCAAATTTTAGATCCACTCATATTCTTTCTTACATCTATCTATTATAAACAAATTCCTAAAAAAATTTAAAATAATAATAATAATAATAATAATAATAATAATGCATTCTCCATAGAAAAATAATTATATATGGATTTTCAAATTTTAGATCCACTCATATTTTTTCTTACATCTATCAATTATAAACAAATTACTAAAAAAAAATTTGAAATAATAATTATAATAATAATAATGCATTCTCCATTTCAGGAAAGTGACGAGACAGACGGTAGACATGTGGTTGGTCTCACACGCGACGCCAACATCCTCGTCGAGCAGCTGCGTCGAATTGTCCAGCCCGACCCATGCAGGTGGCACGTCGTCCTCTGGCCGTGGTGGATCCGGCGGATCAGGTGCCACCACTCCTGTACGAAAAATCTCGGCACACGAGTTCGAGCGCGGCGGTTTGCTAAAGCCGATCGTGAACACGATCGACGGGACGCCCACGTTCCTCAGCGTTTCGCCCGGGGATTCAGGACAACCTGGAGGTCAGCAGGTTGGCTCCGGAAACGCGGGCAGGCCCCAAAGACGTTCCAGACACGAGTTGAGGCATCTCGATGAGAAAGATCTCATATTCGAATTGGTACGAATTGAAATTATAATCAGGAGAAACAAAGGAAAATTAAATGAGACAAGTGGAGGGGGAAAAAAGGAGAGAGAGAAAATCTTAATAGATTGTTTATCGATTAAGTATAGAGGAAAGATATAAATATATGGATTAGATAATTAGAAGTTAAAAAAATCAAATGAAAAAGGAGGAATTTTATATGAGATAAAAATAAATAAATGTTATGGTATAGTTAGAGAACTTTTGATTTTTTTAATGAAGGCAAAATTGGATTATATATATTGGTTATTAATATGGGATATTATTATTTTTGAAATAAGTTATAAAATTAATAGATAGTGTTAAATGTAATAAAACAATCAATGAACAATTAAACGAATAATAATAGTATATGTTGTATTTTTTGGACTCTTATAATTATCATAATTAACATGATAATATCTTTATAATTCGTATTTAAAATCTTTGAGAAATTTTAATTATATTGTTATTAGTCAAGTATCTTATATTTCTATCAATTTATCATTTTCTCTTATCATATCATTATCAAGCACACGAATACTTCAAATTTTCGTTGAGATATTAAAATTATAATTATAAAGTAACTTTTTTATTTCTTAAAAATCATAATGTAAATAAACTAAAGTATATTTTACTTTAATAAGCATGCCTAGAATTTCCATTACAATGTCAATTAAAGAAAAGAAAGATAATAATGAGAAAATATTTCATTATTATATTTGAAATACAATTACAATCATTTATATAAATATTTCTATCCTATCTTATATTTGTAATTTTTTCCTCTATATACATATTTATATTTATCATTTATATACTTTTTATTTATATAATTATATTTACTATTTATTTAAAAAAAAATAATATCTATGTGTTAAAATTTTTGTATAAAGAAAATTTTTTCGATTCGAGAATATTTTGTTTCTGATCACCTTGAATTTTGTAGGTGAAGGATATCTGTAATGAATTGGATGTGAGATCATTGTGCCACAAGATCCTGCAAAACGTGAGTACCTTGTTACACGCGGATCGTGGTTCCTTGTTCCTGGTGCAGGGGGAGAGAGGCGGTGGTTGCATGCCGTCCTCGCAAAATCACGACTCCACGTCGAACAATCCAAACGATAATGGGAATCCAGGAAAAACCGAGCAACGTGGATACTCGAGGAGCAGATGTCTAGTCTCTAAGTTGTTCGACGTGTGCTCGAGATCGACGCTACTTGAAATGGAGAAAAAAGATGAGATCAAAATTCCCTGGGGCACGGGAATCGTCGGTTACGTTGCCGAAAGTGGGGAACCTGTTAACATACCAGATGCTTACAAGGCAAGAATTTTATTTATCTGTGAAAAAAATCGTATACAAATATTCTTTATGTTAAATTTATTACATGTATGGTATTTTTTTTAGAAACATTTTTCTATTTATGTCAAACAAATTTATGGATATACTTTTTATCTTGGAAAGATTTTCTTGAAGTTGTAAAATTGTAAAAATTTAAAATTATGGATAGTAATGTTATATGAAAACGGATGATTATTATTCCAATTAAAATTCTAATTATGTACGTAATCATTGACAAAATTGTCAGACTTCAAATTCCAATTCTTAATAGAGAACTTAATAGAGAACTTATCATTAAATGTGCTTAAACTTAAACTTTATGAAGTATTTTATGTATTATATATGTATAAATTATACACGTTATTGTTATTAAATTATAATTATTTTTTTTTTTTTTAAATAAAATCGTTCTCTAAAATATTATCTATTATGACTATATGATACATTAGTATCGTGCAAGGTTATTAAATGTTTGATGTTCTTAGGATTCAAGATTCAATCGCGAAATTGATGCATTGACGGGATATAGAACCAGAGCCCTTTTATGCATGCCAATAAAGGATTGCAACGGAGACGTTATCGGCGTTGCACAAGTAATCAACAAACTCGGTGGTGAAAGTCAATTTACTGCGCAAGACGAAAAAGTTTTTGCTGGATATTTGCAATTCTGTGGTATTGGATTAAGGAATGCGCAGTTATATGAAAAAAGTCAATTAGAGGTTAAAAGAAATCAGGTCAGTAAAAAATATTGATATAAATTTTGTAAAATTACTTACATTCTCCTAATTATAGATGTTTTCATTTCCTTTCTTTATTTTATCATTTATCAATGTATCAAATTAATTTTTAATTTTACACACTTTTTTTTTCATTCCAGGTTCTTTTAGACCTAGCTAGGATGATTTTCGAAGAACAGAGCACAATAGAGCATATGGTATTCAGGATTTTGACCCATACGCAATCCTTGATACAGTGTCAACGAGTACAGGTACATCATTTTACACAACTCATTCGTAATGAAATAAATGGAAAGAAAAAAAGCTTTAATACAAGCCTAATATTTTGTATAGGTTCTCCTCGTGCATAAGGCATCAAAGGGCAGTTTCTCACGAGTGTTTGATTTCGAGGCGAATGACCTCACCGGCGAGGATTCAGATTCTCGCACTAGGTGAATGAAGTTTGTAATTACGTTCTCATTTCTCTTCACTCAATTACCAGCAATAATTCAATTTCCTCGGAAACCTTATATGTATTCGGTTTTGTTCATGCAGTCCATTCGAGAGCAGATTCCCTATAAATGTCGGCATCACCGGTTACGTTGCTACAACTGGAGAGGTAAATGTTCCGATTAATCGATCAATAATATATAGTTGATATTACATTTGATACGATCGACGATTTATAATTAGAGTTATTTTAATAAAATTTTCTTAGACCGTGAATATACCGAACGCCTACGAAGATCCAAGATTCGATCCTTCCGTAGATGATGGCACTGGTTTTAGACATCGTACTATTCTCTGCATGCCTATCAAGAATTCCTCGGGTCAGATTATTGGTGTTATTCAACTGATCAACAAGTTCGACGACCTTGCTTTTACAAAGAATGATGAGAACTTTGTCGAGGCGTTTGCTATTTTCTGCGGCATGGGAATTCACAATACACATATGTAAATATGTAAAAAAAACTTGATTAAATTATATGATAATTATAATCGTTTGGAATGAATGAATTTTCTAAAGTTAATTTTGCTTTATAATTTATTCAGGTATGAAAAAGCTGTGATAGCAATGGCCAAACAAAGCGTTACTTTAGAAGTGCTTAGTTATCATGCTTCCGCATCACTGGAGGATGCGCAAAGATTAAGAGTAGGTTCGATTTTTTACGTTAAAAATATTCAAGAAAGAACAAAATTTTTAATTTATAAAATTGATGCATTTAATTAAATTAAATTTCAGGGTTTAAGAGTGCCTTCTGCTGCGCATTTTCAATTGCACGATTTCAAGTTCGATGACATTTATATGGAAGACGACCAAACATTAACAGCGTGTCTTCGAATGTTTTTAGATCTTGATTTCGTCGAACGTTTTCATATTGATTACGATGTCCTTTGTCGTTGGCTTCTTAGTGTAAAAAAGAATTACCGAAATGTCACATATCATAATTGGCGTCATGCGTTCAATGTTGCGCAAATGATGTTTGCCATTTTAACTGTAAGAAAATTTAATGAATTAAATATATTACATTTATATTGTATAAAGTTGTGATAAAAATAAACAATAAATTTATTATCGTTCAGGCCACGCAATGGTGGAAAATTTTTGGAGAAATTGAATGTCTTGCATTGATTATTGCCTGTTTGTGTCATGATCTGGATCATCGTGGTACGAATAATTCTTTTCAAATCAAGTAAGTGTAGTTTGGAAAAAATGTATGTAGAAAAAATATTTTCCATTGACTAATGACTGATTTTATTAATAAGAGGGGAATAATTTAATCTTTTTTTTTTTTTTAAAGAGCATCTTCGCCATTAGCACAACTCTATTCAACGTCAACGATGGAACATCATCATTTTGATCAGTGTCTCATGATACTGAGTAGTCAAGGAAATCAAATTTTATCAAATTTATCTCCAGAAGAATATTCTCGTGTGGTAAAAGTTCTCGAAGAAGCAATCCTTTCTACTGACCTAGCAGTTTATTTCCGAAAGAGGGGTGCTTTCCTTAATCTAGCTCAAGGTGGTGGCTATAATTGGGCTTACAGTGATCATCGAGAACTTTTGAGGGGAATGTTGATGACCGTGTGTGATTTGGCGGCGATAACTAAACCTTGGGAAGTTGAGAAGAGAGTGGCGGAATTAGTTAGCAGTGAATTTTTTGAACAAGGAGATATCGAAAGGCAGACTCTCAATATTACTCCTATTGTATGTATTAATGTATTAAACTTTAATAATACAATCATAACATAACTCAGCATATATTGATGACAGCCTAACGTATATGTGAAAATTAGCATCATTACTCGTATGATATTGTAGGACATTATGAACAGGGAGAAAGAGGACCAACTGCCAATGATGCAAGTTGGCTTCATCGATTCGATTTGCCTCCCTATTTACGAGGTAACTAGCTTTCTACGCTATCGACATTAATAAAATACCGTTCGAGCTATACAAAATATCATATGATGTTCTTGTTTCTAATACTTAAAATTTTTTTTCAACATGTAAAAAATATTTTGTAAAACTAAAACAAATGTTTCTATAATATAAAATAATTTTTTCTAAATAGGCATTCGCTTTATTATCGGATAAATTGGAACCGTTGGTCGAAGGTGTTAGAAAGAATAAACAACATTGGCTTGAGATTGCGGAATCCAGATGTAAATCAGACAATTGTACGAATCATGACAGGACACTATCCGATACCGAAGAAACTTGCGAACAGGCGGATCAGTAGTTGTTATTTCAATGGAGAAGTGAAAATATGAAATGGAGACAATTGTACATGGATAAATACTCGTTTTTAAAACGAGGAACAAAACAAAACACGATGTCAAAAGAGAGCAGCAGGTAATGACCATTGTCATATATTTGCAAAAGCTTTGCATCCTCGTCTCGATACTATTTACATAGATATTATATGCACTGTGAGTTCATTTATTAATTTATATTAATCAATATATTAATTATATAAAAAGTGATGGATTCTTCACATCGATTCATAGTGTTGTAATTGCAAAAAAAAATAATTTTTCAAAATAATTTTGAAAAAATTTATTAGATTGAGGGGTTATTGATGTAAGTCTCGATCGTTTGCGAATGCTATTTGTATATAACGTTATTGTTTAAATTAAACGCGAATAATTTATTCTGTTATTCGAATATTAAAAAAAAAACAACATTGTTTTTAGCGAGATTATCATGTACGTTTTATATGCTGTTCGTCGATGAAATAAGAAAAATCAATCAAGGAGGCTGAAGATGATTAATTTAAGACGAATTGTGCTTCGTCCTCTCTTTGGTAATAAAACAGATCAACCCCGAGATGCTACTCTTGTACCTGATCGTATTGTACGTATACTTACTATGGCAGATCTTTGATGTCCAGAGAGGACGAAGAAGAAGGACGATAGAATATGCGAAACTCGAAGGAATCGCAACGAAAATTTGATGATTTTCTTTTCGTATGAAATTTCCATTATGAATTGAAGACCTGTGGTCAATCACATTTTATGTTTTCAAATATAAATATAATGTTGATGATGAATTATAATGGGATATACTTGTTGCGGATGATAATTGGATAACGATCCATTAAAATTTCGCATGAAGGATAAAATGAAGGTGCTATTGATGTAGATATAATAATGTTGTTCACTTATTAAATTTAGAATATTGTACGTAAAATACGTATTATCAAAAATGTATTACCGAATTAAAGAATTTTTTTTTTTTTTTTTTACAGTATTTTAAGCTATAAGATTTGTTTTTGTGCTTATTTTTTGTTAATAAGAAACGTCGATAATTATATAATATTCTATATAATAATGATTTCTTAAATTTGTAAGAAACGAAATTGTAAATATAATTAAAGAAAATAATTACTTGTTATCGAGATATTTTGAATCTCGTATCAACAAAACTACTACAGGTCTTCAATTAACGAGACGGATAATTCCTCAATAATTGCATAGATATAAGAACTCTCAGCTCTTGTCTTGGAATCGCGTTTACAGGGAATTGTCTCCGATTTATGGACTCGTCCGACCAAGAATCGAGTCTTGCGTGTAATTATATAATGTATTCGTAAACCAAAGTGTACGTTTATACATCAAGATCAATCGTGATCTTTATTACTCGATATGGCAATGATTTTAAATGCTGTTGTGCGTGCTAATTATTATAATTAGTGGTTAGATGTGACGGGAATAAATTTTTTCGTCGCTTATCTTGCTTATCTTGAATGTTTTTTAACATCGTTTAGACTCAAATGATAGTTTTCCTCTTCGCGCAAAGCTTCTATGAAGAGCATTTAGAATTTAAAAGATACTTAAAGAATATGATAATGTTTATCTATGATAATGTATCTTTTATTTTTGAACAGATGAATTTTTAAAATCATTATTGAATACAGGACATATCACTGTGATTTAATATAACCAAATATTGTGACTTATACAATATATAACAGTGATTTATAAATTATGCAGGTTTAAAACGTACGTTATTAAATATTATCAAAATATTTGAGTGCAAAAAGTATAAGTATTTAGATCGCTTAAAATCAATTTCACTTGATTTCACAAATTATATATTTTATTTCCAAAGTTAACATATCTGCTCTAGAAATAAAAATTAGCTTTGCGAAGACGAAAGCATTTCAGAATTCGTTCGCGTGTGATCGTTACTTATAATGATAGTCCGTATTTTATATATGTTCCTTTCATTGTTAAAAAAGAAGAGTGTCCTTTTTTTAAAATCGTTAAATTGTCGATTTTATTGCGTGACGCTATAAGAGAAGTAAAATGGTGTAAGAATCGTGTGATAAAAAAAATGTTTATTGCGTGTGATTGTTATACTGTGAGTGAATGTTACGCCGATAAAAGCGATGCAATGTACAGTTTTCGTGTAAATTATTGATACGTCAAAATCGAGTTGTTTAACGTGTATGTTTATGTTACGATTTAACATATAGTATGAGAGTCATATATTATACTGAACAACATCTAATATATTAAAACAAGACTAAATTATGTGATATATCTATAATTTGTTTTTTTAATTATTTAATTTCCCCATTTTATAATTCTTTAAAATTAAATTTGATTTTAATTAATTAATTTTTACAATATCATTATATATTATTACATATATCATTATATATATATATATATATATACTATATATATAATCATTTTTTATATTAAACATTGAGATATACTATAGTTTTGTTACAATTGATATCCTACATTTTGTCTACGCGTTAAGAATGAATGTTGACAAAGAAAACAAATAATAGAAAAAGGACAGAGATATAATAAAAATTTGAAAATCAGCGCCATCTCTAGAGTGCCGTAAATGAAACATATAAAGAAAGGATAGAAAATAATAAAAGAAGGATAGAGATAGCACAAGAATTAACAATTAGCGCCATCTTTTGAGGATTATAGATATCTTAAAAGACAAGGTAAGATAGGACAAGAATTAGGTATTAGCGCCATCTCTTGAATACTTCTAAAAAGATTCTTTGAAGAAATTTCCTTTATTATCTAAGAGATGGCGCTGACTGCTAATTCCTGCCCTATCTCTATCTTTCTTTTACTATTTTCTATCCTTGTTTATTAAGTTTCATTTGCGGCACTCTGGAGATGGCGCTGATTCCATAATTTTTATCATATCTCTATCCTTTTCTAATTATTTGTTCTCTTTGTCTACATATATTCACTCGGATAATTAAGAAACGATTTTAATATGTTATAATTAACTTTATTATTTATTATTTGTAGCAATCAAAAAAAAATCTATACAATCCAACTATGTAATGCATAAAAATATTTACAAAAGAACATATTAAAGAAATTATTTTTAAAATCTCTTGACTTTATCAATCTTTGTCGCTGAATTGAATACAATTTCCGTACTTATCGCTCTAAATCGTAGAAATATACCAAACATTGTAATTTTTTGCGCGATTAATATATATTATAAAACATGGGATACAAAATTCCATGAAATTTACTCTCTTATATCGTCCATGATACAAGTCCACAAAATAATTTTCGGATCTCGATTTATCATTAAAACATAACGATTAATTAAATTTGTATTTAAAAACGTCATTTTAACAAACCGATGACTCATTGTTATAAAAGGTAAGATCGTAGACGAGGCCGGATCAATAGTTGACAAATTGTATTTTACAATGTGGGTCAATCGGTGACACGTAACGATAACATGATGTTGCAATCCTGCTTTAACGGACCTTGATTACCGATGCCAGAACCATCATGAAGATCGGCCAACAAACGATAATATTTATATTATAGTTTCCAATTATAAGGTATATAGGTATATATTAACGACTTAACTTAATTCAAGATGAAGAAATATTTGGAAAAAGGTACATTATTTTATTCAACATTAAAATAATTCTTTCAATAAGATCGTATCGTTCGCGCAAAAAATGGTCGCTCGATATCTCATAGCAAGACACGTGTCGATAACCATTTTCGTTAAACTTTTCGTTCGAATTTTAAATTTCGCACGACAGACAGTATAATTTCGTTTCCAGCTTTGACAAAGCGATCGTGAACCTCGACGTGCCTCAAATGCTGCACAGTTTCCCCATTTATTTTGACCACTATATCGCCAGCTTGTAAACCCGCCTTATCGGCTAATCCTCCGAGAAGTACCTTGTAAAAAAGAAAATATATTTTAATCAATTAAATTACAATTGTCATTTTACATAGATACGATTATTATTATTTTTTTTATATTAAAATAATTCTCTAGAATTGAAAAATAAATTAAAAATTTCCATAATAATTATTATAATTTATAAGATTTACATTCGATAGAAAGAAATATAATCCATAATCTTCGAAATCATTGTGTAAAAAAAAAAAGTGCGGGAAAGGAAATAATACAGGCAAAAACGATAAAACGATCGTCGATCAGAATTTGCAAAGATTCTCAATGGAATATGCGAGTATTTTTGTCATCTATGATTCGACTAATGATTTCTTTCCTTTTCTGAGAACGATATTCCCTTGGACCGAGCGCAGGATTCAGACCGACGGAAAACGAGGTTACGCGATTCGATACGAATCGTAGTGTCGATAAAAATCTCTAAAGCACGAAATCTGAATATTTTACGCGAAAATTTCTTCTAAATACGCATCGAATAGTCCATTACACTTAATGATCGCGGTTCGAGTTCAAGAGAACGATGTATTTGATTTTACGTACGATACGTACGATACGTACGATAATACGAGATATTAATGGAAATTAAGCAAATTTTGTATGCGTGTCACGATTCGAATGAGCGTTAATTTTTATGTATACGTGCGATACGTTACCCTGACGACAGTCAAAGGAAAAGCAAAGTCAGCTCCTCCGGATAATCGAAAGCCCCAGGCTTGGTTCTTGTTGCTTCTCGAGAGTTTTATGTCAACGTCCACCATAATGATTTCTTCGATGTATCAAAAGATCGATCTCTGTAACGAAGTACAAGGAAATAAAAAAATCACTATATCGATTCTTCCAATCAATAATAAATCAATTGTTCTACAACGATCTATAACGAAATTGTGGAAAAGTTTCTTAAAAATCGGATTCGAAAGAAGAATGAAAGTTAATCGCGAGTGTTCGTGAAAACTGAGCGATCGAAGCGCCACTTTCTTCAACTTCTCACGCACGAGTCGAAAATTATCGAAATTTTACAATCCCAATTGCAATTCGAATGTCGCGAGACAATGAGAAAGTATTTTTTTCTTACCTATTGAGCTACGCGACAATTCGAGGAAATTTCTTCGAACTTCGAGAATAGAGAACTAAACTTGGAAGAAGATCGATCGAACTGCGAAAGGAACTGACGATATCACGACGTCGATCACCTGCTCGATGTTTCGCGAGCATCCGCGCATAAATAAACGATGGCCAATGTCCGAATGGTCATGACTTAACGCTCTATATCACTGTTCATCCTATTATAGAGCAAGATCGTTCAAGTACAATGCCGGGGCCATCTTTAAATTTTCAACTGTATATGCTTTATATTGTACTTTATTTAATATTTCAAAGATAACAAGCGTTTCGATGTATACGAAACAAATTTTATCATTTTTTTTTTCTTTAATTAGAATTATCTTTTCAGAAGTTTTGAAACAATTTTTTTTTCGAATCTTTCGGTAGTTTTGTTATTGATAAAAGGGTTAGTGTTAGTTGTTGAAAGAAATTATTATATATAATTATTATATATAATTATAAATATATTATAATATATAATTTTAATTATAAATTTTGTCTAATAATGTAATATTTGTGAATGAATTACTTGATTACTATGTTTCATCCTCGGGTTCGATCTGTTTGTTCAGTCTTATGACTTTAAGTACTTTATGTGTGGGTGGAGCTAATATTGTTAAGTAGTGACGTTAATATTCGATAGGGTGTTTAGGTCATTCTTTTTGAAATATTGCTACCTACACTTTTCAAAACTTCGTTACGTTGATTTTTTAAAACTATGATCAGCTGTATAAAGTTTTAGATACATATATTTAGGTATACAAAAAAAAAAAATGGTACAATATTGTTAAAGCTAAGTTCACTTATTTACCATGAAAAGATATTAATCAGATTACAATTTTGTCAGATTATAATTTTAAAAATTTTTGCTTTTTTTTCAGAATCATTTCCGGATCCATTTTCAGAAATTATTCACACCCTGTATATCAATCATTCTATAAACTATTTTTATAGGATTAAATAATATGACAAAAAAATATTTAATTCTTGCAAATATGGCAATATGACAAGATTAAAGAAGTAAGTATAAGGATAAGTATAAAGAAGATAAATAAATTTTAGAAAATAAGTAAAATGTTGAAAAAATGTTTAGTTCCTGAAAATATAGCAAATTAAAAAGTAAATATAAAGGTAAGTATAAAGGTAAGTATAAAGGTAAGTATAAAGGTAAGTATAAAGGTAAGTATACTAAATTTTAGAAAATTTTCTCTATGCTCTTCTTACATTATATTCTCCTAATAAAAAATCTTGAAATTTAGTTTTTTCAATTTAGTTAAAAACTTTCACAGAAATTCAAAAATTTCAAATTTTGAAAAGCTGGGAAAAATTTCGCGTACCACCTCCTCTTATATTATATTCTCCTAATATGAAATCGAAAATTTGAACAAAAATTTTTACCAGCTAAAATTTTAACTTTGTATCAGGAGAACATAAATTGAAAGGAGGTCGCTCGAGAAATTTTTCCAGGAATTCCAATTCCAAGAATTTTTGCTCGATTCCAAGAATTTTCGCTCGAGTTTAAAATTTCGACTTTGTATCAGGAGAATATAAGTTGAAAGGAGGTCGCTCGAGAAATTTTTCCAAGAATTCCAATTCCAAGAATTTTTTCTCGATTCCAAGAATTTTTACTCGATTCCAAGAATTTTCGCTCGAGTTTAAAATTTCGACTTTGTATCAGAAGAATATAAGTTGACAGGAGGTCGCTCGAGAAATTTTTCTAGGAATTCCAATTCCAAGAATTTTTGCTCGATTCCAAGAATTTTCGCTCGAATTTAAAATTTCGACTTTGTATCAGGAGAATATAAGTTGAAAGGAGGTCTTTCGAGAAATTTTTCCAGGAATTCCAATTCCAAGAATTTTTACTCGGTTCCAAGAATTTTTGCTCGATTCCAAGAATTTTCGCTCGAGTTTAAAATTTCGACTTTGTATCAGGAGAATATAAGTTGAAAGGAGGTCGCTCGAGAAATTTTTCCAGGAATTTCAATTCCAAGAATTTTTGCTTGATTTCAAGAATTTTTACTCGGTTCCAAGAATTTTTGCTCGAGTTTAAAATTTCGACTTTGTATCAGGAGAATATAAGTTGAAAGGAGGTCGCTCGAGAAATTTTTCCAAGAATTTTAATTCTAAGAATTTTCATTCGAATTTTAAACTTTGTAAAAGAAGAATATTAATTGTCAATACGTGGCACGCGAGTTTTTTTATTATAATTTTATTATTATTATTTATTATTATTTAAATATATTTATTATTATTTAAATATAAAAAAATTTTTTTATATTTAAAAAATTATACATATTTATTTATACTTACCTTTTATATACTTATCTTTTATAATTATTATTTTTTTTGCAATATTGCATGTTTTTTTTCAGTTTTCTTAATTCTAAAAATACTTACCTTTTGCATACTTGTCCTTTTTTGCAGTTTTCTTAATTCTAAAAATATTACTTCTATATACTTATACAACCTATACTTATACTTACCTTCTATATACTTACCTTTTACATTTGCTATTTTTTTTAATAATAAGAAATGAATGTTTCTTAAATAATTTTGCTTAATTCTACAAATATTTATCATTTTTAGATGTTTCAAGTGATAAATTTGAATATTTTATCCTGAAAAATAAATATAAATTATACGTACAATGTATAAAAATGTAAATATAATACGATTATTATAATTATTGTGTTTATTATATCTTTCAAAAATAATCAAAAGCATCATCAAGTATTTTCTTCGCCCCTTAAGAACCGTTTTCTCATTAAATAGTTGAAATACTACTACTTGGCAGTTGTTTCTAAGAACGAATCACACAGTGAAATAACAGCCTGTTTCGCCAACCGATTTAAAGGCCAAACTACTTTAGACATTAATTGATCGGATCAAAACTACTTGGCGAATTTACTGCCAACTTATATTCAACTTATACTCAACCATTTTACTTTCCTTCTCATTGATGATCAAATCAAATCTTCGATATTTAATATAATTATTTCCAATATTCCTAAAGACTTATATATACATAATTAATAATACATAATTCAATTTCCATTAAAAAAAGCTAAATATTATTAAAAATTCTTCTTCTATCCGTCACTATCAAATTACAAAATATAAAATCTTCAGGAAACACCTTCAAATAATCAAATGAAACATACATCCTCTATATTCTATTCTATATTTTATACTCTATACCTTATCTCTCTATACTTCATACTCTATATCCTATACTCTACACTCTACATTCGTATACTCGCAATACAATTCAATTCCATTGAAAATTCTATCTAAAATAATCTAATTCCATCTAAAATAATTTAAATAATTCTATTTAAAATAAATGAAACATAAATACATTCCCAAATACATTCCCAAGAAACAGATAATATAAAAAGACTCTAACATACTCTATATTCCATACTTCATATACTCTTCTTTATTCTCTACTCTGCTATACTCTATATTCTATACTCTATTCTCCATACTTCATACTCTATACCTTATACACTCGTATACTCAACAATTCAATTCCATTGAAAATTCTATCAAAAATAATCTAATTCTATCTAAAATAACTTAAATAATTCTATCTAAAATAAATGAAACATAAATACATTCCCAAATACATTCCCAAGAAACAGATAATATAAAAAGACTCTAACATACTCTACATTCCATACTTCATACGCTATATTCCATATTTCTTCTCTATACTCTATATACTGCTATATTCCATATTCCATACTCCATTCTCCATACTTCACACTCTATACCCTATACACTCATATATTCGGAATACAATTCAATCTCATTGAAAATTCCAGTTATAATAATTAAATGAAATATAAATACATTCCCAAGAAACAGATAATATTCGTAAAACATTCCATACTCCATATGCTCTATACTCTATATTCCATACTTCACATTCTATACCCTATATCCTACAATCTACACTCGTATACTCGCAATACAATTCAATTCCATTGAAAATTCCAGTTATAATAATCAAATGAAATATAAATACATTCCCAAGAAACTGATAATATTCGTAAAAAGACTCTAATACACTCTACATTCCATACTCCATACGCTCTTCTTTATATTCTATACTTTATATTCTATACTCTATATTCCATACTTCACATTCTATACCCTATATCTTACAATCTATAGTCGCAATATAATTCCATTGAAAATTCAATCTAAAATAATCAAATGAAATATAAATACATTCCCAAGAAATAGATAATACTTGTAATACACTCTACATTCCATATACTCTTCTCTATACTCTACTCTGCTATATTCCATATTCCATACTCTATTCTCCATACTTCACACCCTATACCCTATACACTCGTATACTCGGAATACAATTCAATCTCATTGAAAATTCCTATTATAATAATCAAATGAAATATAAATACATTCCCAAGAAACAGATAATATTTGTAAAACATTCCATACTCCATACGCTCTTCTCTATATTATACTCCGCTATATTCCATATTCCATACTCCATTCTCCATACTTCACACCCTATACCCTATACACTCGTATACTCGGAATACAATTCAATCTCATTGAAAATTGCCACCACCGTCTAAAACATCAAATTTTCACGGGGGATGATCGTCAGATTTCATCGAGCAACCCCACCTAGGCCTGTTTTAACGCCGATCAAACGAGACACGTCCCGGTTGGGTTGCACCACCCAGTAGACAGGTGACGGGCCACGCAGCCAGCCGGATTCGTGGGTGGCCGAGGGGGGGAGGCGACGCAGCGCCCGTGGTGAATTTCCTCGAGTGGAGGCAAAGTTTGATTCTGCGGAGGGCGCACGCCCCGCTTCCAGCTGCACAACCGACTGGCCTTTAACCAGTCACGAACGAGCCCTCGTTCCTTCCACCCAACGTGTCGAACGTGCGCGCTCTCTCTCTCTCTCTCTCTCTCTCTGTCTCTCCATCCGCCATTCCCCCCTTCTCCTCGTTTCGTTTCTTTCGCTCAAGTGAGATGATTGCGATTCGTGTTTAAAAATCGGTTATTCACGCGTGTGATTTCTCTTCGATAATCTTTCTGAGTGATCCGTTGGTGATCCGTTTCCTTTGACCGTTTGGTGCAGCTTTTTAACTAGGAGGAGATGTTGCTGGGAGCAGAAGGCAAGGGTTACTTCGCGTGAGTATACATTTTCCAATTTTGATTTTCATTTTGATTTTTATATTGTTGAATCTTTGTTCTGCATGTTTTTTTTTTTTTTCTCTAACAATTTAAAAGTCTCTGTCAATGAGATGTCAAGGAGAATTCATCGAATCTTATTTTTATTTTTGATTGGGATAAAAGTAAGCTTTTTTAAGAAATTATTTGTAGTATTAGAAATTTTTTTTTTTAGATGATTATCTCGATCTAGGAAAGTTAAATTAGAATTGGAAAGATTGTATATATATATAGATTTCGAAAATTTTAAACAAATCTATTCAGATCTGGAAGAATTCATTCTTGAATTAGAATCAATTCTAAATTTGAACAGATTTTATTTCTATTTTTATCAATTTACTAATCGTTTCGATACTTTTAAACGAGAAAAATTAATTGGATCAGAATTAGAAAATTTGGAAATTAGATTCAATCTGAATGAGAATTTTAATATTTAAATACATTTATAAGATCCAGAATAGTTTAATTGATCGATTTAATCTTGTCTCGATATTTTTTATTTATTTACTAAGATCAATCCACTAAGAATTTTAACATTCGAAAATTTAAAGTTAAATCGAGATGTTGAAACAACAGTTTTTGAAATTGACTGCGATAGGTTAGGATCGAAGAATCACAGGGGGGTCCAGGATACTTTTGTGACAGATTAAGGTGATGTTGAACGAAGGGCTCGTGCGATTCTAATCAACTGTTCCACGTTGTTTAAAAATTTTTGTCGAGTGAATAACCCAGCGTGTATCGATATTTAATAAACGAGCGACGGTGTCGTCTGTCAATCGTGTTGCCAAGCGCGTATCTTATTGTCGATGCAACATGTTCTCCACTTTAAATCGTATATCGATCATTATAAAATATCACGAGATCATTACTTTCCGATTCTGCGTGATGTTGATATTGAATACCTGAAAGGATTATTGCAAATTTATTTTTGATTAATATTTTGATAAATATTTTTTTGATTAATTATTTTTTAATCAAAAATTATTTTTGATTAATATTTCGATTAATATTTTGATAAATATTTGAAGTGAGATATTTTTTTTTTTTTTTTTGGTATTTTGTAAGATAAAATTTCAGATGTGTTGTAATTTGATTAATCGAGATAATTGGAAATGGAATTAAAATAGATTGCTTTTGAGCAATTGTAAATAAAAAATTGTATAAATCTTTTAATCAAGTTTCGTTGTGTTTATGTATTAATTAATTGTTTCATTGTGTATTATAGCGTATAGTGGACAGGATTTTAATTTGGGTTATTAAATTAATTATAATTTCCAATACAATAATAATTTTAATAATAGTTTTCAATTTAATCATAATAATAATTTTCAATTGAATGTAGTTCAACAAAATGGTAGACAGTTTCGTCTAATAGTTTCGTCTAAAGTCGAATCGTAGTTTGATTTTCTAGTAATAAGATTCTAAAAATATTTTAGGCGAGCTTTAAGGCGTGCTAGAGTCGATATTGAATCGAAGCGTACAATGATTATCCGGATGAAATTATGAATTAAAGGAAGTATCAAAGAATAGAATTGATATAGAATAAAAATATATAGAAATTACAATGGTGAAATATATGGTAAAATATCAATAATATCAATAATACTGGAAAGATTGTTTTATTAAGTGGAAAATGGCTGCACAAGAAGTGTAAAAACCGACCAACAATTGAATTTCATCCAATCTCATCCAAGGATTAAGTTCAGCTTTAAATGCAGCAAGCAAAGAGACTAATCTCTGCAATTTCAGAAACACAATTTTAGTAATTGAATTTCTTTAAATATTATTTTCTCATAAACATTTTTATTTATTTAAAAAGTATAGTTTAGAATAAGATCTCAATTTTATTATCTTTAAAATTATTACCTTCTTTTCCTAATTTTTCATATTAAAAAGATTATAATTTCAATCCATGTTTACTCATTCACATGGTGAGATTTTTGGTAATGATATTAAAATGGAATTTTACAACGTACAAAGCAGACATCAGCCTCGACCACCTTATTGTTTCCTGATACCCGAGCTATTTCTCTTTTTTCCCCTTTTGTTGGCTTATTGGCCGCCAGCCATCAACAGTTTTTGACACTTCACAGCATAGATCTCTTGTGCATCGTCCAAAAAGAATTTAACTAAATTAAAACCAGATCTGTCGTGTTTGTTGAAATTAATAATTTAAAGTATATTTGGGAATAATATCCTTCCAAAATTGTTCTTTTCAGATTATTTGCAAAATTACTCTCAATTTCCATTTGTTAAAAAATATTTTCAAAAATAGTTTTTAAAAAGGTATTTCTAACTCTCAAATATATTTGTACTTTATTGTAATAATAATAAATAATTCTTCTGAATTATTAATACAATTTCAAATAAATAATTCTTCATTGGAAAAAAACATGGATAATATAAAATAATAAATAAAATTGAATAAATATAATAATTATAACGTTACAAAAGAACAAAATTATATTAGAAGAAAATGCTAGATATCAAATTCTAAAGAAAAACTTGAAACTTTAAATATTTCAAAATACGTATCTTAAAAAATAAAGAAAATAGTAAATTGTAATAAAAGCATTGCAAAGAAATACTTGAAGTTTCAAATATTTCAAGATACTTTTAAAAAATGAAGAAAATATTAAATACGAAATTTAAAAAAAAAAAGAAACAAATAATCTTAAGATATTTTAAAAAATGAAAAAAAATACTAACAAAAAGATTGGAATTAAATGAGGAATCTTAAACAATGATTTTCCAATAATAGACTTTTAACACTGTTTCCACCTTATTATTTGCTAAGGTAGCATGGCAACCTTAAGGGAAAATGACGAAAGGAATTAAAAAAAGGCACTACTCGATCCTTGTATGCACCCTTGATTCTAAACAGGCCGATATCCATCGAGGGTCGTTCTATCCGGTCTATCGATTTTTCCTGAAATCCGTTGTTGACCTTAATAGCTGTCTGTCGTTGCTATCTCAATCCAGGCTTCTGCCTTCTTCAACGACCAACATCTTTTTAAACATATCGATCAGAATTGTTAAGAAATCGTAAACAGGGAGAAGTTTCGATCTTTATTTCCTGAGAAAGAAAAAAAATCAAGTTTTGAGTTCCATTATAGAAGATTTTTAATTTAAATAATCGTTTTAATAATCTCGAGCAAAAATATTCGATAGATCCTTCCAAAGTACCTATTCATGGATTTTCTAAATTTAGTTTAGTTGAAAGTGAAAGATATGAAACTTCTGAAATATTTTGAAAGTGAAGAAGATACTTGATATCAAATTCTAAAAAAAATTTGCAAATCTCTTAAGAAAAAAATACTTGCAACTTCAAATATTTCAAAATACAAAAATAAGCAAGAATGTTAGATACAATTTTTTAATTCAATTATTCAAATATTTCAAGATACTCTAAAAAATGAACAAGAATGTTAGATACAATTTTTTAGTTCAATTATTCAAATATTTCAAGATACTCTAAAAAATGAACAAAAATGTTAGATACAATTTTTTAATTCAATTATTCAAATATTTCAAGATATTCTAAAAAATGAACAAGAATGTAAGATACAATTTTTTAGTTCAATTATTCAAATATTTCAAGATACTCTAAAAAATGAACAAGAATGTTAAATACAATTTTTTAATCCAATTATTAAAGATAAGAATTTAAATAAGTTGATAAGATGATCCAGGAGAATGACTTGATCATCTTGTTGCTTGACAACAAATAAAATATCCTTGATTCAAGATTTCCATGATTATGAATTAATATGGAACAAACTTCCATAATTTTTGATATTGTTGATAGGCATTGATGATTAATGATGAACAACTTCATAGAATATATGGATAATCGATTCTTCTAAAAATTCATTGTATTCACTTCACTTATTGGACAGTTTTCACTTGTATCTTCTTTCTATAATTTCTCAAGGGAGATACGGTGAAGTTGAATGTACAGTATATAAGAGAGACTGCAAAATAGATAGGAATTGTGAAGGAAAACAATCAGAATAACATGGTGAAGTTTGAATAGAAACAAGCCTGAACGATTGTACCAATGAAATGCAACACTTGTTGTATAGTCTATAATCGTTAAGTGTGGACCAAAACTGTTTCAAATCTAGAAATAAATGGGGCGAAATTAAAAATAAGTTTACAAATTGAAAAACACTATTTAACTGTGACACTAAAACACTATTTAATTGTGACAATTAATATTTTTTATGTCATTTGGAATTTTATACTTGGATAAATTTTCTTTGAAATTATTTCTCAAGTAGTGTTACATACCTTATATTTTAAATTTAAAAGAACATGGAGCAAAATTAAAAACGTATTTGAAAATCTATTTTTCAATTTATTTAATTGATATTTATAATTTACCTGAAATTTATAATTTGAATGAAATTTTATATCTCGAAATAATTTATATCTCAAATAATATTTCATTCAATCTTCATCACTGAATTGTAATTTTACCACGACGTGATCATCTTGTTGCTTGGCAACAATTAAAATATCCTTGATTCGAAGATCAGTATAAATTAATATGGAACGAATTTCCATAATTATTGTTGATAGACATTGATGATTGACTGAATGATGAACAACTTTATGGAATATATGGATAATATGGATTCTTCTAAAAATTCATTGTATCAATCTCATTGTACCTTATATTATATAAAAAGAATTATTTAAATCATTAATAATAATTAAATTGATAATTTAATTGATATTTTTCTTAAATATAATTATAAATTCATTTAGTTTACGTATTAGATATTTATATATAAAAGGACGTAATTGATATTATACTTGCGTATATACTTAACAATCGTCCTGGATTAAATTGCTGCGTTTCAAAACGTAAGTCCATTCATTATACGTACATAAATACTCGAAGCAATTAGAACTAATTTCCGACTTCATCGTCATTATTCTCTTCAGTGACAACA